CATTTCCCTTAGATAAGTTATCTTCATCTCCATGTTCATTATAGCATTATTAGCAATTGCCAAGACATGGAAACAACCTAAGTGTTCATCAGTGGGTGAATGGATAGAGAAAATGTGGTGTCTATATACAATGGAATATTATTCTTCCATAAAAAAAGAAGGAAATCCTGCCATTTGCGACAACCAGAATGGGCCTTAAGGGTGTTATGCGAAGCTAAACAAGTCAGACAGAGAAAGACAAATACTATACACTCTCAATTATATGTGGAATGTAAAAAAAGCCCAAAACCCTGAATCACAGATACAGAGGATGGATTAGTAATTACCAGGGAGGGGGGTCAGGGAGTTAAAAAGATTAATAAAAGTAATGGAAAAGTATGTGACTGGATATAAGATCAATGATATAAATCAATTGTATATCTTTGCATCAGCAACCAAACAATTAGGGTCTAAACATTTTTTAAAGGGCTTCATTTATACTCACGACAAAACTATAAACTACATAAGAATAAATCAAAGGAAAAAAGAGTGCAAGCCCTATGCAGAAAATTACAACACTTTCGGATGTTGTTTCGGAAAACATCAGAGAAGACCTACATCAGTGGGGAGACACCCCAAGGCAACAGCTAGGCAGAAACAGCATCTTAAAAAGGTCTCTCTCCCCACACTGATCTACAGATGCAATGCAACGTCAATACAATTACCAACAGGGTGTTTTTGTTTTTTGTGGAATTTAATTAGTTGACATGTCATCAGTGGAAAAGAAGGGACTATTTAAAAGAGATAGCTTGCAAAACTATATGGGGAAGAAATGAAATTGTTTCTGACTCATACCATAGATAAAAATCATCTTCACTTAAACTAAAAACTAAATGTCAAAAACAAAACTTTAAATGTTTTTAGAAGACAGTACTAATAAGATCTTTCTGACCTTGAGGGTAAGGAGAGATTGGTTAAATAAGACACACAAAAAAAATGCTAATTTTTTAAAAAAGGATGAGACTCGACAATATTACATATAGAACTATGCTACTCAAAACCTTAAGGAAAATGAAAATACAAGCTGTAAATAATAAGATATTTGAAATACCTAAAACTGACAATGGGCTAGATCCACAACACAGGGGTGGGCAAAAGTAGGTTTATAGTTGTAAGTATGCAAGACAGAGTTTATTTTTGTATTATTTATCAATTATTGTATTATTTATTTATAACTGTAGATCTACTTTTGTTCTCCCCAGTATATAAGGAATTCTTACAAATCAATAAAAAAGGCTCAGTTCAGTATAAAAATAGGCAAAAGTGATGAATAAAGCATTTAACAGAAGGGAAACATTTGGTCAATAAACATATGATGAGATGTTAAATCTCAGGTAAACATAAGTTAAACCATAATTACACATGACTACCCACTTATTAGAGGGTCTAAAATTAAAATGATCAACCAATCCAGTGTTCGCAAATATGTGGAGAAACTTGATCATTCCTATACTGTTGATATGAATATAAAATGGTTCAACAACTTTGAAAAGCAGTTTGGCTTTTGTCTAAAAATTTACCCAAAAGCAGACAACTGTAATTGAACAACAATAAATTAATTAATTAATTAATTAATTAAAATTTAACCAAAAGACCTAGCTATTGTAATCCTAGGTATTAATCCAAGAGAAATGAAAGTACATGTCCATACTAAGAATTGTATATAACACTCTTGCTGCTTAAATTGCAATAGCCAAAAACTGGAAACAACCCAAATACCTATGAATAGGTGAATGGATAAGCAAACTGTGGTATATCCAAGAATCAGAATATTCAGCAATAAAAGTAATGAACTCTTGATACTTGCAACAACATGAATATATATCGAAATAGGTATACTAAGCCCTGGCTACTGTGACTCAGTTGGTTGGAGCATCATCCTGTAAACTGACAGGTCTCGGGTTTGGTTCCCAGGCAGGGCACATGCCTGGGCTGTGGATTCATCTCCAGTCTTGGCATGTGTGAGAACAGTCCCCAGTTGAGTGCACAGGAAAGGCAACCAGTCACTGGATGTTTCTCTCTCCTCCTCTCTCTCCCTCCACTGCCCCCTCACTCTAAAATCAGTAAGCATGTCCTTGGGGAGGATTAAAAAAATAAAAATAGGTATACTGAGTGAAAGAAGCAAGATTAAAAAAGTAAACCAACTATATGCTTCCATTTATATAAAAGTCTAGAAAATGCAAACTAAATTTTATAGAAACAGGAAGCAAATCTAATAGTTACCTGAGTATGGGGGAAGAAATAAGAGGTGGGAAGGAGGGGTCACAAAGGGTCACAAGGAAACTTTTTATGGTAATTGACACGTTCAATATCTTGTTTGTGGTAATGTCATCAAAACATATCAAATTATATACTTTAAATATGCAGTTTACTCTATGTCAAGAAATAAAGTTTGCTGTTGTTAGACTCTAACAGAATAATTCCTTTTAGAGAGAAAATCCCTCTTTTTATTCAAACACCTCAAGGGGCCTTTTTGGTTGAGAAAGGTGAGGTTTGGGGCTGGCATAGGAGTGGACTGATACCATAGGAGAGTCACCTGCTCTGTAAAACAAATCAAGAGAGACCCGGCTGGTAAGACTCAGTGGATTGCATGTTAGCCTGAGGGCCTGCGAATGAAAGGTTGTGGGTTCAAATCCCAGTAAGAGACCATGCCTGTGTTGTAGGCAAGGTCCTCAGTTGGGGATATGTGAGAGGTGGATTTTTCTTTCTTATACTGGTGTTTCTTTCCCTCTCTTTCTCCTTCCCTTCCCCTCTCTTTAAAAATAAATAAATCTTTTTTAAAAAAAGCAAGATAAATTTTTCATTTTAAGCGAGTTGTCCAGAATTCAGAGAAGAGAAGACAAGAAAGAAGTCTCCAGAGAACATGGGAAGAATCTGTACAACACGGGAGCCAGCAGAGGTCATGGAGAAAGATGGGCAGTGGAAAACTCTCTGGGGTGGGGATGGCCATAGAACTTCGTTATCCAATACTCATGTTTACAGTGTTGCCTATTCTGTGAAGTAGTCCCTTCCATGATCCCCGAACCTTTGGTTAAGTCTGTTCCAGACACTGGCCATGAGTTAACAGTGTTTTGGAGAATCAAAGAGGAAGGGACGGTTCCATGTATCAGCCAAAACAGAGAGACAGGCAGCAGCCACAGGACTTTTGAGGGTGGCTGAGATGAGAAGCAAGCTGGAGCAGGGATTAGAGGAGGCACCGGAGGGTATAAGCATTCACTTCAGGAATTGTTGGAATCTGAGGCCTTACTACAGAATGTGGGGTGGAGAAATGAGCCATTTTGTTTGAGAATTAAAGGAAAAGTTTACTCCAGAGAATGGTTTCTTGGGAATACCTCATCGATCCTAGACATGCTTTGGGAAGGGCTGTGCTAGACCATGCTAACTACCAAAGAGGTGACTCAATGGAAACCAGGCCATGTAGAGACTGTGGTGTGAATGACACCCCTTGGAATTGCCTGTTGTGGTGGTAATGCATCTCTGCTCTTTAGACCAGTGCCCCCAAACTATTCTCAATGGTTTACCTTTGTTTTTATCTTTCTTTCTCATATTAAAAAAAAACACATAATTTTTAAAGTATTTTTCACTTTCTCCTCAGCTTCATTCTGTCCCTAGCTGTGCCAGAAATAAATTAAACTCTTCTACCCTAATTGCCCCTCCTAGTTCACCCCAAATATGGGCTATCAGATCCCTCTTTTATTATCCAACTTCTCCCAAGTCCTCACCTTCTTCTAATAAAATATGCTTTACCAAGAGTTTCAACTGTAAAACAACAAGAGAGGGACTGCCAAGACAGTGGGGGTGGAGGGAAGTGGGTGTGAGAAATTCATTTCCCCCAATTGCCATTCATTAGCCAACTAAAGTCAGACCAACGGGAATCAGGTCACTTGTTCCACCGAGTCAGAGTCAGGGAGAAAATGTAGTTCTTAAATCTGTGTTCATCTCTTCTTTCTAGTCAAAAAGTTACAGGGAGAAAGTAACCACAGGACCAGAAAATGTAGATGAAGATGCTGTTCCCAAGAGGAAAAGTGTGTGGGCTCACAGGAGGATCATTTACCTTGTTGTGTGGTGTGGTGGCTGGTCTTGCCTAGGAAACTTTGAAAAGTTAGCCCTCCATCGTCCCAGGTGTTTTGGGGCCAGACCTGTCCCAGGAAAGCAAGCCGCTGTCTGCTCTCTTCGCAGTTCCGTTATGGGTCAAGGACTCTGTGATGCCATCAATCAGTCAGAATGTGCAAAGTTGCCTGGATACCTTGGGTTACAGACCATGGCTGGCCATCTTGCCAAACATGTGCTGAGAGACCAGGTTGTGGGAGAATGTGGTGGTGTGGCTACCTGAACCTGGGTCAGATCACCTGTCTAAGCAGATGGCAAAGAGAGAGACCCCTAGCAGAACCAGGGGCAGGGGCGCGGGGCTGGGAGCTGGAGGCGTCTTACCAAGGAATGGGAGAACTCCACAAGGATGACAAGGACAACAAGGTTTGGGGTTCACTAAGACAAAAAGCTGACCATGAAACATTTCCCCAAAGAGACATAACCCTAAAATACAAAAGGGTAAATTTAATAAATCCATACAACCTCTCTCCAAGGACATATAACCCTAAAATACAACAAAGTTCATTTTGATTAATCTAGCACCTGCCCACTGCAGTATCTGTTTACTGAACGTATGAAAAAAAAATTTCCCAGTGAACCTCACTCCCTGGTCTGTCCCCAGTTCTAGGGGGCCTCTCCCTCACTCTTTTAGACTGTGGGATCACGTGATAGTCACTGGAAGTATGCATTCAAATGAAATTTGGATAATCTGTTAAAGGTATTGTAGAAGATACCCCGTACATTTCCCCCTGTTGGTAAGAAGGCTGGACTGGAGATGTGCTCTCAGCAACTCTGTGCCCCTTATTCTGCCAGCAGAGCATGAAGTTACCAAGCGTGCCTCCCAGGTAAAACAGAAATACCTCATGCAAAGATTCTTAGGAAGTAAAATACTTTTTATTAATTTACTGGATTTCCTATACCCAACAGTCCTTAAAACTAGTATCAACAATAGCAGCACAAACCACCTGTAAAATGAAAAACAGGTGCCCCAAAGACGTCCCCCCCCAATGACACACACATATTGAGAAAAAGTCCCACAGGGTGCCGACACTGCTCCCTGTGAGCAACGCCAGCTTCCCACAGGCTCCCCGGCAGTCCAGCCCTCCGCATCCTGGATATTCCAGTCTTTGGAGTCAACACAACAAGTTAAGGACAAGTTAGATTAATCTCCAGCTGACGACGTAAGTCCCCAGCCCTATCGAGTGTGCAACGTGACAGGTAGAGGGCCCAGTGTGCTACAGCAAAGGCCGAAGCACAGCCGCGGGCGCTCAGCCAGCCGGGCCACAGGGGCAGATGGCACAGGCTGCCAAGTGCAGGGGCCACAAGACCCAAAGCCATGGAGAACTGACAGGTCAGCTCTCAACTGAGAGATTTACTGAAAGGGGATGATGCCTCAAGCCACATGCTTTGATTTTACAAGCTGGCTCATCTTGAGCCCAAATATACCAAATAGAGATACCATGTACTGCCCTTGAAAACCAGAAACAAAAAGCTAAGAATACTCAAGAACTTGGGGTTCTCTTCCGGCCACCCAGAAGGCGAAGTCGGCCAGAAGCCTGCCTGTTGGTCCTGGACCCACTCATCTGCTGGAGGGAAGGTTGGTCAGAACCCGAGGCACATCGGGGACCAGAAGGGCTTCCTAGTTGTCCTGTGCCTGCTGTAACCTCTTGGCCACAGCGGTGATCAGAGCTGCTCCCTTCCCGCTGCCATCTTCGGAAAGCAGGAACGTCACGTCACACCGAGGGGCCAGGTCCTTCACAGTTTCCTGCAGTATTGTAGAAAAGCTGTAAAAAAGGGAAAAGAAAGCCTTCATCAGCACTGACATTTGGTATCAGCATATTCATAAATTATTTCAAATTAGTTTGTTGCTTCCAGTTTGCTTCTCAAGGTTCTAGAAGAGCTTACCATTTCATCAGTAGCTGTTTTAATATTACCTTTTACTGAACAATGCTAATGCCAGAGAATATGCTAGATGTTTGACATGCAGAATATCAAAGTGTAATAAATAGTAGTTTGAAAATAATTATTGCTATCTTCACTACATAAATAAATTGATGCTCCAAAGTTAAGAAACTTGTCCAAATTTATACAACTAATCAGTTTATTAAGATTTGGACCAGGCCAGTCTTTTTCCAAACTTCACATTTTTTGTTCAAATCTTCCCCAAATTTTTATTGTCAAAATTTTCAAACTTAAAGAACAGTTCAAGTACCTCTACACCTTCTGCCTAGACTCAACAAAGTTAAAATTTCGTCCTGTTTGCTTTATCCATCCATCCATTTATTTGTCTCTCCCTCCATTAATTTCTCCCTAAAGCACACAGCCTTAATCACAACACTTGGCCTCTCACAACTAGCACTTGTGATAATAAATCTGTTGGAATCAACATCCTGGGAGCCAGTTACCAGGCCAGTCTGTTGCATCATGTACGTTTACCAAAGGCCTGGGCATCCGGGCCGCAGGCCCTGGGATCCTGGGTTACTGTAGTGGTACTGATGGTGGCCATCTCTGAGGCCCAGCACACCAGAGCAGGTTCTGAACACAACTCGAACACAGCACCAGTGGGTGACTCAGGCACTGTGTTAGACTGGCACTCAATCCACTGAGCCACTCCAGCCAGGGCTGTTTATCTTTTTTAGAGACTGGCAAACTGTGTTCCCACCAGCAGTACATCAGGGCTCCAATTTTATCACATCCTGACCAACACTTGTTACTGTCAGTCTTTTTTATTATAGCCATCCTAAGTGGGTGTGAAATGCTGTTTCACAGTTTTGATTTGCATCTTCCTAGTGACTAATAATTCTGAGCATCTTTTCGAGTGTTTATTGGCCATTTGTAGATCTTCTTTGGAGAGATGTCATTTGTTAATCAGGTTACTTGTTTTTATTGTTGAGTTGTTTTGTGCTGTGTATATATTCTAAATATAAGTCCCTCGTCAGATACATGATTGCAGATATTTTCTTCTTTCTTTTCAACTTGTATGATGTATAAAAATATTTTAATTAAGTTCCATTTACCTATTTTTTATTTTGTTCCTTATGCTTTTGATGTCATATTTTAGACCATTGCCTATTCCAAGGTCACAAAGATTTACACCTATGTTTTCTTTTAAGAGTTTTATAGTTTTAGCTCCTAATTCAGGTCTTTGATCCATTTTGAGTTAATTTTTGTACATGGTGTGAGGTTGAAGTCTAACTTCATTGTTTTCCATGTGGAGATCCAATTATTGCACCATTTGTTAAAAAGAATATTTTTCCCCATTGAATGGCCTTGGTATCCTTGTTGAAAATCAACTGGCCATAAATGTGTGGGTTTATTCCTGGACTCTCAGCTTCTATTCCAATGGCCTGTATATTTAATCTTTATGTCAGTAGCATACTGCTTTGATTACTGTAACTTTAGAGTATGTTTTTAAATAGAGAAGTATGACTTCTTCAGTTGTGTTCTTCTTTGAAGATTATTTCGACTATATTGAATTCTTTGCATTTGCATTTGAATGATAGAATCAATTTGTTGATTTCTGCAAAGAAGTGTGCAGGGATTTCAATAGTGGTTATGTTTGATCTGAAGATCAATTTGGGAAGTATTGCTATCTTAATATTAAGTGTTCCAATCTATTAACACAGATGTCTTTCCATTTATATAAGTCTTCTTTAATTCCTTTCAATGATGTCATAGTTTTCAATGTACAAGTTTTGCATTTGGTTTGTGAAATTTATTACTAAGTATTTTATTCCTTTTACTGCTGCTGTAAATAAAATTATTTCCTTAAGTTTCACTTTTGGATTATTCACTGCTAATACATAATTAGATTTTGTATATTGATCTTGTATTCTGAAACCCTGCTGAAGTTGTTTATTAGTTCTAAGAGTTTTGTGTGTGTGGATGCCTGAGGATTTTCTATATACCAAGTCATGTCATCTGTGAACAAAGATAGTTTTATTTTTGCCTTTCTAATATGGATGCCTTTCACTATCTCTTCTTGCCTAACAGCGTTGACTAGACTTACCCATGATCTTCCCCTTGAGGTCACACATTTTGGGTCTGGTTCTTACAAACCTCTCCTTGAATTAGGATTTGACTGATAGACAGAAATCACAAATCATCTAGAGGCAGCATTAGCAGCAGTACAATGTTGACCAGCAGTGGAGAGAGAGGACATCCTTGTCTTGTTCCTGATCTTAAAGGAGAAGCATCCAGTCTTTCACCAGGAAATATGATGTCAGCTGTGGATTTGTCATAGATGTTCTTTGCCAGGTTGAGGAAGTTTCCTCATTCCTAGTTTGCTGAGTACTTTTCATCTTGGAAGGTGTTAGATTTTACCAAGTGCTTTGTCTGTACTTATTGATATGATCATGTGGTTTTGTTCCTTAGTCAAGTCGTGGTTCAAGGGACGGGCTAGGAACCACAACAAAAATACACGATCCCAAGGAAAAAGCAAGAGAAGATACCACTTGGTTATTTCACACAATTAGCATCACAGGAAGGGCTAAGGAACAAGGATTACAATAAGTTCATGTATACATTTCCACAAGATTGGAAATTTCTATAGGCTTGTTAATATTTTTTCTTTTCACCAAAATGAAATGTAAAACTCGAAATGAAAATAAAAATTATAGCTTTTGTCATTGGGATTTCTGTGATGTTCCATGCTTGCTACCCAGACTATTTAACTTAATCCTCACAACAATCTACAAGGCAGGTATAATTTTTGTCCTTATTTAACAAGGTAAGAAACTGGCTTTAGGTCTCCCAGCTACTAAGTGGGAGAGCCAGGATTCAAACTCATATTGCCTGACGAGCTCTTAATCCTTCTGTCCACTTATTCTGAGCTAAGAAAATTATAAGCAGCTCCTACTTGACAATGCTCTATATTACACAAAATAGTCAGTTTTCATTTCTCCCCTGAGAGGACAATGGGAATGGTTTAATAATCATCACTTGGGTTTACTGAGCACTGTGTGAAGCACATTACAGGTATTAACCCTGTAACCTTCACGTAGCTATGTGAGGCAGAGGCTACTACAGCCCACCTTTCACAATGAAAAAGCTGGGGTTCAGAGGGGATTCCCACAGCATGCTACCAGGAAGCAGAGCCACCAGGGCTCAACCCTGTCTGTCCAATTCAACAGGCCCACTCTCGAACTCAGCACCCGCCCACCCCCACCCTCTGCAGGCACTCACTGAGGGTGCAGTTTGTACAGGGTGCCATCCACGCCCACAGTGATCTTCAGGCGCTCAAGCCCCTGGTCTTTCCTCCTTTTCTCCACGATGGCGGCCATGCCCGCGCCACAGAGCTGGGCAGCCCGACGGGACACAGCTCCACACACCTCCTTCACCACGATGCTGTCCTCGCATGTGCTATCCAAGCCGAGCTGCTGCAGGATCCTCCTCACCTGGAGCAGGGCCAGCCGGTCGCTGCAGGCAAGTAGAACAAGATGTCAGTACCTACTTTGGGTGCCCTTGAATCTGCTCCATATGGCTCACAGCCCCCGACCCCTAGATGTCCTGGAAGGAGAAAGAAAATTATCCAGACCATGGCTAAGTTGGAGCAGAATGCCATCCCGAGGAAGTCCCATTCATGCTTAAAAAAAAAAGTGTGAAAACCTCTTATGTTAGGTATGTTCAAACCTATTATCTCATTAGGAGCTATTACTAATTTCAGTAAACGATACATCAAGGATCCATTTTTCAGAAGAGGAATCCGAGGTGCAGAGTGCTAGAGACTTGCCCGCAGAGACTAGAGAGCAGGATTCACACACACGCCTTCTCGCACCACATCTAGCCAGCCTTCCCACTGAGCACACTAGTTTCTGGTACTCTGGCCCCGTTCAGCTGGCCAACGGTCCTTTTGCAACTATTCTGATTTTATGCTTTCTCTCCACAACTAGACTACATGCTCTTTGAGGGTAAGACTGTAGTCTCAATAGCAGCCAGTCAGGGCTGTGTACGTTCAATGGGCAAATGAATAAACGACCACACGATGCACAGTCAGCATCTTAGTAAATGGGAACCTGCTAGGCCATGCAGAGAAGCACCCATTGTGGGGACCCGTTAGCCTTGACTCTATATTCTGCTTATCTTGCAGTGAACTTAGAGAGCTCTGACTCCCCAGCTGAAGAAGGGGAAGTTATAGCCTGGACTGTCTCACATACTACCTAGGGGAGAAGAGCATGATAAAGAGAGAACAGCTGAGAAACAAACTGTGATTATATAGCAGATTCAACAGGTAAATGGGGGTGTAGCCAGGCAATAAAATCTTCTGTAGACCTAAAAGGTGAGTTTATATTTAATGCTATGAAAAGTGCTCATGATGTATTAAGTAAAAAAATAAATTATAAAAACACTATGTGCCATATGACCTTGGTTTGTTTTTGTTTTAAAATAATGTTTTTCCTTGAACAACAACCATAAAAAGCAGAAGGAAATCTATTCAGATGCCGGTAGAATTACCAGAAATCCTTATTTTCCTTCTTTTGCTTATGACTGAGCAATATCAGTACAGGAAGAAAAAAGTGGGGTTGTATTAGCATGTATGAAATTTCTTCCATAGTGTAGCCCTTCACAGTTTACCTAGTTCTTTCATATATGTTCTCTTCCTCGATCCTCAGAGCAATCCTTGGGGTTAAGCAGCAGAGCAATTATTTTTTTATAAGAGGAAATTAGGGTCCAGAGAGGTGAAGCTGCCTGCCTCAGATCACACAGCACAACCGAGGTAAGCAGTAGAGATGAATCTTAAGCTCAGGCTCTGGGACTGTAAACTCAGGATTCTTCCCCTGAGAATCACTGTCCTGCCCATTCAACAACATATTTTGAAATGGGCCACAGTCAGCATAGCACCTACTATCTCCCCATCAGCACTAGATGGGGATTATCTTCTTTTATTCCATAAAGGCTTTTTTTAAAAAAAAAAAAAAGCCTGTAGGAATCAAAGCATCCGAAGCAGACACCTTCAGTGGCAGGTGCAAGTATCTGTGGATGCATACAGGTCCTGACAACTTGCTTTGTCCAGAACAACTTTCTTTGTATTCAAAAAAGCAAGGCAAAATAAGTCTATCCGTTTAGTCTTATCTTGTGTACAAGAGTGCACACAAGCAAGAAACTATTTCTCCCACACAAAAGAGACCCCTCTGGTCACCAAAAGTAATGACTTTTATCTTGTACCTTTGGATCTGATGAGTAGAAGACCAGACCAAAAAAAAAGAATGCCAAATGTTTGCTAATCAACACTTCAGAAACAAAATCACTGCCCCTGCTGCTGCTGCTGCTGCTGCTGCTGCTGACTCTACCACCACCTCCTCCTTAAACAGCAAGAACTCCTCTGCGATGGTCCATCCGATTTCCCTTGTGAAGTGCACTGCTTTCATTTATGAAGAGTTTTCTTGCCCTGAGTGGTATGGCTCAGCTGGCTGAGCATCATCCCACAAAGAGAAAGGCTATTGGTTTGATTCCTGGTCAGGGCACATGCCTGGCTTGCAGGTTCAGACCCTAAGAGGCAATCCATCAATGTTTCTCTCTCACATCAATGTTTCTCTCCCTCCCTTTCTCCCTCCCTTCTCCTCTCTCTCTAAAAATAAATAAATAAAATCCTTAAAAAAGAAAGAGTTTTCTTTTTTTTTTCCAAAATGATTTTTGGCTTCTTGGCACCTAGCCATAAAGACCAGGAGAATTAAATGAAAGAATGAAAATTGAGAAAAATCCCAAACACACAAACTCCGATAACAACCAGGGCTGGTAGGAAAAGCAGTGAAACTGGCACATCTGCGCATAACTGGTGGTAGTGGGAGCTGGAACTGTCTTTTTAAAAAAGTGTGTCCATAGGGAAATGCCTCTTTTAGCCAAATGCTTCTACTCCTGAGGCAGTAATTCATGAGATGCAAATGACTATGTGTACAAAAACAATAATTATGGTGTTACGCAGAATGGTAGAAACCTATACATTATAATCTAGCCATCCTGTACCAAAGGGGGAGTTTAGGAAATTATAGTATAGTAACCTAATGCAACATGATGCAGCCATTTAAAATAATTACACCAAAGAAGCGATCTGGGGGAGTTTCTCTTTCTAGAGCATCCCAGCTACTAAACGGGGAAGGAGTGACAGCATTGTCACCACTTTACAATCTCCAGTGAAATCATGGATCTAAGCAGTGAGCATCAGTAACTGCTTACGTTGTAAAACAGAGACAGACAGACAACGCAGTACGCCTGTGAAATATTCTTGTCTAAAACTCAGCACGGAATCTAACCATGCATCTGAGTCTAACTATAAGTTTGCAGGAAATACAAGGGACAGAAGAAAACACTAAATGCTGTGATTGTCAAAATCTTTAACATAGGAAACTCATAGGATAAAAGGACAGCTTCTTTGTCAAATACACATGAAACAAGAGAGGGAGGGAACATTTATTGATTTAAAAATATTTTTGAAAACATGTCAACCAAATTGCCCCAGCTGGTCTGGCTCAGTTGATTGGGTGTTGTCCCACAAAGTGAAAGGTCACCGGTTCGATTCCTGGTCTGGGCACACGCCTAGGTTGTGGGTTTGGTCCCCAGTTGTGGTCAGGGCATATACAAGAGGCAACCAATCTCACATCGATGTTTTTCTCCCCCTCTTTCTCCCTCCCTTCACCCCTGTCTAAAAATAAATAAATAAATTATTTAAAAATATATCAACCAAATGTAATGTATGGACCTTATTTGGATACTGAGGTAAACAAACTGTAAAAACCATTATTTTTAGGCAATTTTGGAAATGGGAACACTGGTGGGATATTTTATAAGGTTAAGGTTCATCATTAGCTATTTTGGGTGTGATGATGGTACTGTGTTTCTTAAAAGATATATTTCAGAAATATATTCTGAAATAGTTATAGAGGAACTGACATAAAAGGTGACGTTTGTTTCAAATGACTCCAGTTCGTGGGTAGGGAAGCGGGACTATGTAAACGAACCGTTTGGCCATGGGTTGACCGTTGTTAAAGATGGGCTCATTTTACTATTTCTTCTACTTTTGTGTATGTTTCAAACTTTTCACAATAAAAAATCAAATAAAAACCAGAATTGTAAATGAAAATTTGCATGAATAAACACTGAATAAACAATATACAGAATAATGTGTGTCATGTGACTGCAATCATGAAAATATGTTAACAAATATTCAAGAACTTGAAAGGGAATATAATGCACAAAAATAAAAACAGCTATATTTAGTAATGAGCATGTGGGTGATTTTTTAAAATGACTTTTCCTTAGTATTATGGACCAATTTTCTTTTCAGAAACAAAAAAGGATCATTTTCTGGCCTAAGCTAACTCCTGTGTAAGAGTTTAGGAACCTCAGGGCCCGGGCAGGCTGCTGGCCCCACGTCCACCCCCTCACCCCGCAGCCAGCTGTGTGCACACCCTCGCATTGTGGTCCTGATGCAGCTGGAGTGGGGGCAGCCCCAGCAGGCAGCCCCCTGCCTGATCTTGGCCTTACTGTTTTATTTTTAAATCTCAAATCTGCCTATCCCTGGCATGACAGCAGCACGTCCAAGTTAGGGCCTCTCACACTGAGCAGGGGAATGTGATCACACATTACCTTTCAATCTGAGACAGGAACTTGGTTTCAAAGATGCCCCTGGTCCGGAGACGCTCTGAAATCTGCCCACGGAAGAGGAGGCCCTGCTTCGTCAGGTCAATCAGGATCTGCCGCACAATCTCCCCCAGGTACATCCCACTGGTCATTTTCTCGTATCTGTTCGGGGAAGGGGGATACAGCTGGTGAGAGCAGGAAAATCAGCACTGATGAATGGTTCCCAAAAGACCACGGGTCAGGCTGTGGAAGGCACAGCATTGGCATCTGCCAGTTGCCTGGCTCGGAGTGTTTCAGAGTGAGCAGCAGGCTAGAGAAATGCAATGAGGTGGGGAAGCCAGGCTTCGGAGCCATGTTGACCAGGAGCCATGTCCCTGCTCTGCAACATACTAGGGCCATCACCTGAGCAAGTGCTAAGCTATCATCAATAAAACAGGGAAAACAACACTGACCCCACAAGACTATTGGAAGGCAAGTATCTGGTATATGGTTAAATGCTAAGCAAAAGCTAGTTCCTCTCTTGGCCCCAAAGCCAGTTCTCCTTGGCTTTGTATTACAAATCTGTTCTACCAGAGATTCTCATAGCCTTATACTTGGAAACAATATGTCCCACTAGAGGTTCTGCTCTATGGGAGAATACATTTAAACTGTCTGCACACACCAGGGGTGCTCAAAAAATGTTATCTCCCTGTCCCCTTTCTATCAAGCTGTGAGCAACATGAGGGAAGTAGCAACTGAAGGTGCTTTGTCACCAACAGGCACTGACCAGGCACTCTGTACAGGTACATGTGACAGCTACCAATTGCAGTGATGCAGGGCTGGACCCCCACGGCCGGCAGGGTCAAATGGAAACCTGAGAGTGCCTGAGGCTTGGGTGCTGGACTTGTGTGTTCTCTTCACTGCTCAGGCCCTAACGTGAAACCAAGGAACCAAGATGAAACAGACAAATTACAGCAGCAAATTCAAATGTGCTGTCCCCTTAAATTCTCTCTCCAAAAATATAAGTCTCCAGTGGGTTCAGACACAAAACTACATCAGAAGGAACTTGCCCCATGAGAAGAGCCATGATACTCAGATGCCCCAACTCAGGACTCAAAGATAAATACATTTATCAGATTTTTTTCTTTGAGGGGCAATCCCTAGTTCAGCTGCACTTACTGCAACTCACCTGCCTCCAGCCACAGAGACTAGAGCCCAAGGACGCTGAAGAGCCTCGGGGCCTCCTCTACACAGTGCTCTCAGTGCAACGGTCACTGGACGTGTGTGGCCCGGGCATCCCATTCTGTGACACTTCCTGTCCGCTCGACTTCTTCACTTGGCTACCACCTGTCTCAACAAATCTGCATTTCCATCTTATTTTTATGTATTCAGACACTGAGTTTAGTTGTGACCTGATAGTAAAACATTTACTCTCTGGTACATTATAGAAAAGGTTTGCTAGCGCCGGTTCTAATGCACAAGCCCGGGTTAATCATCAATTCCTATTGATGATAGCTCTACCCCTACCCACTCCTTTCTCTCCTACTCAAGAAGGTATATGAGAATGCAAGTGAAAATGTACTCTATCTTTTTAAAAAGAACCATTCACTGTTTGCAGTATTTTTAGTATGATTAGTAATTGGAATACACCTCACAGGCGATTGTGACCCACACTGCAACATCACATCATGGTGGAGAACCAGGACTCCCATCTTCCCCTGTGGCCACTTCCTCACCCCAGAACAGCAGAGGGCAGCAACCTGGCAGCCAGCTCTGGAAAGTCTAAGGCTTTGGACTTCTGAATTGGACCTCCCAGAAGCCCATCTTGAGAGGGCCCATGGAGTCACCATATTCCTTCCTGCTCTGTGACACCGGCCCACAGTAAACAGACTTTTTGACAGTCTCTGCCTCACTTCCAAAGCCACCACTAGCCCTCATGGTATCTTATGGAAATTAGAAAAAGACAACCCATCTTCTGGTCAAGATGGTAATGTAGGCAGATATGGCTCACCTCTTCCCACAACCACATCAAAATTACAACTAAAATATAGAACACCCATCACTCAGGAACATCAGAAATCAAGCAGAATGGAAGTCTGACAACTGTGCAATTGAAGAAGCCACATCCATCCAATCTGATTGATAGGAGGGGTGTGGAAGTAGAATGGGCTAGCCTCACACCCGTGGATAAAGTCAGGGATATCTCAGGAGCGAGGAGTCCCAGCCCAGGATTCCAGTGTCAGGAAGGTAAGTCCCTACAAGTACTGGCTGCAAAAACCAGCAGAGATCGAGTCAGTGGAGAAGGCTAATGGAGCACTAAGCAGTTCCTCTTGGGGAACCCACACGTAGACTCATCCACTCAGACTCACTCCCTCTGAGCTCTAGCACTGGGATGGCAGCTTGAAGGGCACCAGTGGTACACAGGGAGAGACTGAAATGTCTGGCATCAGGTCGAGCAAAGGCCTTTGGGCTTTTGTTGAACCCTCTCCCCCTACAGAGCCAGCAGGCTGGTGCCATATCTGAGACTCCACCAGCCTGGGAGAGACTCCACTGTGGGACCCACCTTGGAGATCCAGAGTCTCTTCCCCACTCAGTTTACAGGCCCACCCAAGCTTCTTTCCATAAGAATGGCTGGTATTGGCTCCTAAATCCTACCAAACAAGCAACAGCTGGCTTCTGTGAGCCCTGGCAGCAGCCAGATTAGAGTCATAGCTTGCTTTACCTGGGAATCTCCAAGCCCAGCACAAGCAGCAGCCATTTCAGATTGCTTTATGGCTCAGGCAGGGGGGCCCCTGGCAAAACACAGGTGGGGGGTGACCTTGGCCTGGAACACTGGGAAAACCCCAGGGCCAACGCACCCCGTGGAGAGCTACAGACCACATCGGAGCACCACCACCCTGCCCCTGCACAGCTGATCCTCCATGGAGAATAGAGGTTAATGGTCAGTGGTTATAGCCAATCCTTGCAGATGACTGGCCTGGGTAAATCCCTCAAATTGACCTGCCAACAGCAACCAAGGCTCAACTACAAGAGGAACTGGTACTCAGCTCACACAAAGGGAACACCTCAAGTAACCAAATGGGGTGATAGGGGAGGCTGTACCACTGGACCCTACAGGACACCTACTACATTAGACCATGCTACCCAGACAGGGAGTCATACCAGCCCTACCTAATACATAGAAACAAACATGGGAGGCTGCCAAAATGAGGAGACAAAGAAACATGGCCCAAATGAAAGAACAGATCAAAACTCCAGAAAAAGCTAAACGAAATGGAGATAAGCAATCAGATGCAGAGTTCAAAACACTGTTTATAAGGATGTTCAAGGAACTTAGTGAGGACCTCAGCAGCATAAAGACGCAGTCGGAAATGAAGGATACACTGATTGAAATAAAGAACAATTAAAGGAAACAACAGAAGAATGGATGAAGCCACAAATCAAATCAAGTATTTGGAACATAATGAAGCAAAAAACAACCATGCAGAACATGAAGAAAAAATGATAAAAAAAAATGAGGACAGTATAAGCAGCCTCTGGGACAACTTTAAGAGGTCCAGCATTCACCTCATGGGGTGTCAGAAGGAGAAGAGAAAGAGCAAGAAATCGGAAATGTATCTGAAAAAAAATAGTGAAAGAAAACTTCCCTAAATTTGGTGCAGGAAATAGACATGAAAGTCCAGGAAACACAGAGAATCCCAATTACGATAGATGCAAAGAGGCTCACTCCAAGACACATTATTAAATGGCCAAAGGTTAAGGATAAAGAGAGTCTCTTAAAAGCAAGAAAAAAGAAGTTAGTGTCCGGAAGGTTGCCAAATGGGAGAGGGGAAGGGGGAGAATGGGTGAAGATGTGAGGGATTGAGAAGTACAAGTGTGTAGTTGCAGAATAGCCATGGGGATGTAAAGTACAGCACGGGAGATGGAGTGGCCGATGGTGTGGGGATTGTCTGAGGGAGTGGGGGGTACTGGGTGGAGGGGGACAAAGGGGAAAACCAGGACAATTGTAATAGCATAATCAATAAAATATAATTAAAAAAAGAAAACGGCAACCCTTCTTTATATTGGAAATTTGTCATAACATTTTGCTTTTGTTCAAACGAGACAGTATATGACATCTGATAGTGAATTGTAAAAAGTATACAAAGTTATAGTGCCTATGATGTGAAAATAGCCCCCACCCCTCAGATCTGGTAAAGCTGTATATGCGCAACCTGCAGAGAGGTACACGTCCACATTCTCACCTCTGTTTGCCAGGATTTAAGGACCCCTCATCCACCTCCTTGTCATATTGGGTCCGGATGTCGTCTATGCAGCCATTATCTCCAAATCCTCCCCACTCTGTGTTAATGCACATCTTCCCTTGGTCCCCTTCCACCATCTCTATGTTCCTCATCTCCTCCATGTAGCACACATTGCTGCCCGTTCCTAGAAGGAATTGTGAAGAGACGTCAGTCTTTGGAAGACACCACCAGGTCTTAGAGAGACAGTGGACGGGAATTAAGGCTTGGAGTCAGATACAACTTGGTGTGGATTCCAGCTTTACCCTCACTGCTGAGTGACCTTAGACAAGTATCTCATCTTTCAGAGGTCCAGTTTCTTCATCTATGAAGAGGAAATAGTACCTGCCTTATATGAGGTCTATCTGGAAAAAACCCAGCCATCGTTAATATAATGAGAACAGTTTGCACATTGATGTAACCTGGCAGCCAAGGAGAGTGGACTGGAATGTTCATGCATGAACAACAACTTCACTGTACTAGTCAGTGGGGGCAGGAGACGCCTTTGAGTGAGCATGTGTACTGTGTGGCCGTCACATTCAAAATGACTAAGCAAGTACAGCAATGAATCTCCATCAAATTTTGCATTGTGCTTGAACATTCCTCTATGGAACCTATTTGGATGATTCAGAAGGCCACAGCTCTGGGCAACTGGGGATTGGCAGTTTCATCACAACAACGTGCCTGCTCATGCATCAAGTCCCGTGCAGTCTTTGCTGAAACATCAAATCACCCAGGTGACTCAGTTCCCCCACAGCCTAGATTTGGCACCCTGCAACTTCTGGCTTTTCCCAAAACTAAAATCATGTTTGAAAGGGAAGAGATTTCAGACCTTCAATATGATTCAAGAATATACAATGGGCAGCTGATGGCAATTGGAGAACTGTGTGAGGTCACAAGGTGCCTCCTTTGAAGGGGACTGAGGCATCATTGTCCCATATACAATATATCTTATATCTTGTATCTTCTTTAATACATGTCTCTATTTTTCATATTACATAGCTGGATACCTTCTGGACAGACCTTGTAGACTGGTAATTTTATAAAATGAGATGATGTTTGTAAGTTTTCTCCATGCAGTAAATATTCAGTAAATGGTGATATCATCATCATCATCACCATTGTTAAGCTACAAACACACAAAGTGAGCTTCCAAGTAGTCATAGAATTACCAGTCAGAGCTGGAAGGGACCATGAGGAATCACCTAGTCTTTTTTTTTTAAGATTTTATTTATTTATTTTTAGAGAGAGGGGAAGGGAGGGAGAAAGAGAGGGAGAGAAACATCAATGTGCAGTTGCCTCTCACATGCCCCCCTCTGGGACAACCCAGGCAGGTGCCCTGATTGGGAACTGAACTGGTGACCCTCTGGTTTGCAGGCTGGAGCTCAATTCACTGAGCCACACCAACCAGGGCAAATAACCTAGTCTTGGACAAGCAAACATTTGGCATCTATAAGCCACTTTTTTCTCCCTTGCTCATGACCTGGCCTCAGAACTGTTCTCAACACTACAGTCCAGGCAACTATTATATTTAATTAAGTAAGTTCACCTCTTTTCTAGATCTAGCCCAACCCCTCCCATAGATGAGAAAATTCAAGTCCAGACAGAATAAGTAACCTGCCCAAGGTCACAGAGTAGGTAGGGGTTAGAGTGAGATGAAACCTCTTACCAGGCACTGAAGACATCTGAATATATTTCTATCTCCTTGTTCCACCTACTACTCACCTCCAGGAACCCCAGACAAGCAACTGAAACCACCTTTGCAGACTGTCATTACTTAACCTGTGCCTGTCAGTTGGAATGCCCTTCACCCCCATCTCCACCTGTTCAACTCCCACCCTGTCCCCCAACTCTAATGAGAGTCATCCCCCTGGAATCCGCCCTGGTCTTCAATCACTGCCAGAGTTCTCCCAAAGACCCTTAAAATGCCTATGTCACCTCAGGCCTTTCCCTTCTTCTCTCTCGGGTTTCTTTCCAACTCTTTCCCATCCCGTGCCCCCTGAGAGCCAGCGAAGACCCGAGAACAGAGGAGGTGTGCGTTGGAGCCGGCCTCAGGACAACATGACTCAACTGTGGTCTCCCTCCTCCCAGCATAACCTGCTCCAAGGCCCTAATCTGAAAATTCTCCTTTTTATAATGTTCTCTTTCTTCAACAGAAAGGATAACCTTGGCTTAGTACCCTTAATGAAGAAAGTATCAGGTGAAGATTTAGGAGTTAGAAAACCTGGAATCAGAATCTTAACTTCATCTCTGCCTTGGACAAAGCCAGCTTCAGAGCCTCTGTATAAATGGAAGGCTGGACCCGTCCCTCACTGTGTTAAAAAGGAACCTCCAAGAATCAGACAGAAGTAGGTCAATGGGACACATCTGGCCACTCACCTGCAATCAGGCCAATCTCACAGTTGGGATCTTCATAGCCACAGGTCATCATGGTCCCCACTGTGTCATTCACAACTGCAACTATGTCTAAGTCAAACTCCTGCAAAGGAAGCAGCTCTGCTGTAGGTAGAACGTACAAGCCCAGCAGACTCAGGAGGGGCATATCAGCCCAGTGTGGGGTTTGGGCATGAAAAACAGTGGTCAGAGTTAGAGGACTGGACATAGGATGGTAGAGTAGGGCCCGGGGGAAGGGGCTGGGTCAGGCATGAGCCTCAACATCATATCATACGTTTCTCCTCTTGATGGCTTCCCTGAGCATGTCCACCATGTCTTCTCCTTCACAGTCAGTAGCCTTAAAGCCCTTGGTCCACTCAATGAGTGTTGCCTGAAAGAAAGGAGGGGAAATTCACTTGAGCAGTAGTTTTCTGGGACCACTGCACAACCTCAACATCTAGTAGGTAGTCAGATATGTGTGCTTTTCACTGCTTGCATCTCTGCAGCCCTAACACTAGGCCCAGAGGCATTACAAAGGAGGATGCTCAGACAGGGTCCACCGCTGAGGGAGATAATCACAGCAATTCATACTCATCAGTGGTCCACTGGTGTCCCCTGGCCATGACGACACAGAACAAAGGCCTGGATCATAGTGACCCCACTGCTAATGTAGCCAAGGACAGATTAAGATGTGATTAAAGATAAAGCTACAGAATGTTTATTAAAGCATTGTTTCACAGTAAAACACTAGAGGCATCCTATCATTCCAACAACATGGATCTATCATCTTGTACATCAATACAGGAAGTGTCATATAGCCATAAAAATGCATGCTGTAAGAGGTTAGATATAGAGAAAGATGTTCACCATACACTGTTAGGTGAACACACATTAAACAAGTGCAGACAATGAGTTACTCTACTACTCTTTTTAAAATAGTTCTCCTTCTCTAGTGCTCTCTCCCCGCCCTTGGCAAAAAATCTGAAACAGAAGGTGGATAGTTGTTTCTCTGGGTGCAAGATTATGGGTGCTTTTTAGTTTCTCTTCTTTGGCTGTGTTTTCTAATTTTCTTAAAATTAGCAGGTATAATTTTTTACAATACTAAGAAAGAAGTATTTTTAATTTTTAAATGGAAGCAAAGGCTATCCTGTTAACTGAGAGCAGCAGTTAGTTTACCCTCAGGCTCCAGAGCCTGGGGAGGGGTGGTGAGGACCGATGGAGCTGTGCCGTCTAGGCCAGGAGAGCTCCTGGGACAGCAGAGGGGGCCAGTATCTCTGACGGCAGTGCTCCCAGCCCAGGGGCTGAACGGCACCTCACCTGAGGCCCTTGACCCCAGCCTCCCTCCTTTTCTCCAAAGACCTTGCAAAGCTGGGCTCCCTTGCTTTTTTCCTTGCGGGTATTTGTAGGACATCAGAGATGTACTCCCAATTGAAAATTTTTTTGGTTGCATTTACGCAAAAACAATGTTTTTTGAAAGTCTCTTTTTTCTCCCCAGCCATCAGTGTTTTTGCTCCATTGGTTTCCACTCCTTTTAAGCTGTGTCTTCATGAACCTGTCAGAACTTCTGGGAGTTCTGTGTCAAAACTCCCAGTGTTCTGGGTCAAAAGGAGCAACTGTGTCCTGGCGCCCACCGATCATTTAGGACCATGGACAGCCACCTGTGGGTCCACAACCCACCCTATCATGTATTTAATGACAGCAGTAATACAGGAATGCATTACCACCGTACAAAAATTAAAGTCCTCTATAACTCCCCAACCCCCCAACCTGAGAGCTACCCTCTATGAACTCTCTGATATGAATGCTTCCAGACCTCTTTCTGTTTGCATGTATTTTTAAATAAATTCATATTGCGTGTGGACTGTGGTAATTTGTTTTTCTCACTCAGTAATGAATCTCCTAGACCTTTCCAGGGCAGTTAACATAGATCTGACATATTTCTTCAGTGAGCAAAATATTCCTCAAGTATAATTACACAAAAATTTTAAAAATCCACTAAACTTAACTATAGATTAAGTACTACTTTTATTTCCATTTTTCAAGTGAATAAACCAAGCTCCAGAGAGGTCAAGTAACTTGCCCAAGGTCACACAGCCTGTAAGGGTAGAAGCCAAGATTCAAACTGAGACAATGAGCTTCCAGGCCCATGCATACTCTTAACTAGTGCACTCTGCCGGCCCCCAGTTTGGGAGGTAACATCTGGGAAGCTCTTAGAACAGTGTCCGACACAGAGCAAGCACTATAGTTGTGTTTGTTAAATAAAAACCAAGTAACAGATTCCTTATGATTGATATACTATAATTTATTTACTTAGTCTCTTTCTATTGCCAGACATCTGGGTTATTTCTAATTTTTCATTAGAAATTACTGAAAAGCAGTGTTATAGTGAACAACCTCATTCATTTCCCCTTGGGCACATGTTTAAGAGATGGAATCTTGAAGAGTGGATCTTCTGGCTCTTAGCATTCTGGCATTTTCAATTTTGAGAAACCGGCCTTGTAACCAGATAGTGCAGCCTTGTGAACCCCTCCCCCTCCGTTCTCTGAGTGAATGGCGTGGGGTGGGGTGGAGTGGGGTAGGCCTGGCTGCACTGGCTTTCACGGGGCTCTCAGAGCCCATGACGGCTCTGCTTCACTTCTGATCTTGCACCTCCCTATCGGATGAGCCCTGCATGCCTCAGCGTCCTCATGAAATATCAAGTAGGATAGAAAATATAGTATAATGCGCACAATAAGGATATTATTTCTTGATTTTTTTTGTTTTGATTGCATTTATGCAGGTGTGCAGTGCATTAGAGCCAAAATATCAACAGTTCAAAACCACGGGCGTCGAGAGCATGCCCCTCTGAGGCTGGTCCCCGGCCAGTGTGCTGGGTTGGGCCGCTCCACTACCACTTATGAGTGCAGCACCTTGGATGACTCACTAGACCTGTCTGTGCCTCCATTTTCTCCATTGCAAAACAGTGATTAAAAACTGTGTGTATATGTCAGTGGGATGTTAGTCAGCCTTAAAAAGGAGAGAAATTCTGACACGTGCTACAACAGGGAGGAACCCTGAGGACGTTATGCTATGTGAAATAAGACAGTTACAGAAAGGATACAGCATGGCTCCACCTGCAGCAGCCAAACCCACAGTGACAGGAAGTAGCAGGGTGGTTGCCAGAGGCTGGGCGGAGAGGGGTGGATGGGAACTTATCGTTGAATGGGCATGCAGTTTCAGTTTGGGATGATGGAAAATTTCGGAGGATGGACAATGATGATGGTTGTGCAACAATGTGAATGTGCTTAATACCACAAAACTCTACACTTAAAAAACAACATGTTGGCCCTGGCCAGGTAGCTCAGTTCGTTAGAGCATCATCCGAATACACCAAGGTTGTAGGTTCGATCCTCAGTCAAGATGAACCAATGAATGCATACATAAGTGGAAAAACAAATCGATGTTTCTCTCTCTCTTTCTCCCTTTCTCTTCCTTCCTATCTCTCTCTAAAATCAATAAAATGTTTTTTAAAAATAAAGTGTTAAATGTCATGTTACGTATATTTTACCATTATCATTAAAAATGATAAGAATGTATCAAAACAAAAACAGTGTGTAGCTCATGGAGACACTGAGTGGATTAAACAAAATCCTAACAAATCTATGGTGCCCTTCTTATTACTCCTGTCACCAGTGCTCTGGTCGACTTGCGGCACTGAGCAGAGCTCTCCCTGGACGCGGAGGAGTGGCGTTCGGCTTTTATGCCTTGGTTGGTGTGAGCCAGTCAGAGACAGACAGGGCTCCATACACACAGGCTGGTGACTGGTGTTTCCACCCCAGAATTTCAAGGAAGACCTTGTCATACATGTTTTAAAATTATTATGAATAACATATTAAAATTATTACTTCTGATGTTCTTCAATGTCAGTTAAGTGTCCAGGTGATAAATCCCTTCTGAGAATCTCATATCGGGAAAGAGGAGCGCTGCTTTTGATGTGCTGGGAAGCTTTTGCTCACCCGACAATGAACACCCTGCAGCCCACTGTGCTCCCTGCTCACGGGGCTGCCCAGAAAGACACCCATGCTATTGCTGCCTAAGTGTCCCAAGTGGCCTAACCTCTGCCTGCCTCTCCATTATGTGATTTGATCTCTCGTTTCACAGTGGTCTCCTGTACATGTCCCTTTATTGTTTATTACCCTCAATACTTTTGTGAACTTGAATAAAAAATAATAACCAAAAATGCAACATAATAGAAAAATTAAATAGTTAAAATTCTCAATCACCTTTCTCCAGCTGCCCTGACCTAAGACCCCTGAATAACATGAACAGTGAGTGACTCAGAGCTACCTCGAGGCCCCCCTACTGGACGGAGGAAGCCCCCTGGGCTGGCTGTGCTCTGGCAGGCTGTCTCACCTTGTCGATGCTCGTCTGCCTGCAGGGAAACGAGAACGTGAAGCCCAGGGGCAGCTGGGCTCCCTTGAGGCCCATGTAATCCAGAAAGTCGGCGATGCACTGCACGATGTGGTCGAACAGCTACAGGGAGAGAGTGGCTGTCATACCAGGCTGGCGGTGACATGGGGTGGCAGGCCGGCACCATGGGGCACTGAACCCTCAGCCTGACTTTACCTCCTCGCCGGTGCCCTGCATGATCTCCAGGGGGATGGCGAAGATCTTGTGGTACATTCGCACTGACCTTCGTCCACTTCGGATCTTCACCAGCAGGACCCGGAAGTTGGTTCCCCCCAGATCCAGGGCGAGGAACTTTCCTTTCTCTGTGGTGGAGAGAGTGAGGGCTCTGTTCCACCACCAGGCACCGAGCAGGGACTCGTGTGGAGGCATTGGGAGGAAGAGGAGATGAAGAAAAGCAGCAGACTCAGAGCCTGCCCCCCAGGGCTCAGGGGCCAGAGGGACACAGAGGTCACCGAGCACAATGTCAAAGGATGGGGTGGCACTTGTCTGAGGCCAGCCTGCTTCTTGGTGTCTCATAAAGGCCACACATGATACCGATGCCCAAGGAGCCCCCGGGGGTGAATCAGGCCAGGCTGCCCTGACTCCCAGGGACTCAGAAAGGCGGTTCCATTCTGTCTGTGTGGCCGAGAGAAACTGTTCATCCCCTCCCCAGATTCCCACACCCCATCTGACTAATAAGAAACCGTATCAAGTTCATCCCTCAATACCAACGACCACCTTTCACTTTTCCAACATCACAGAGCATCGCAGTCTGCTCTGTGAGGACTTTCACCCTGCTCTCTGCCTCACTCACTCCGCTACAGCCACACCGATCATTCTGCTGTTCCTTGAATTTACCAAAGACACCACTCTTACCCCTTATCTGCTCTTTCTTCATGACACCCATCATTACATGGCATCATACGGTGTTTATTGTCTGCCGGCCTAGTAGAGCAGAGCTCCACAAGGGTGGGGACTGTGTTTTCCTCATTGTTATATCACCAGGACTAGAACAGAGCCTGACACACAGCAGTTGCTTAACAAAACTCTGAGGGATGAAGGCAGGAAGATAAAAGGGAGGAAGGGATGAGTAGCTGAACAGGACCTTTATTGCTCTCAGTTTTTCCCCGTGTAGACCCAAAGGATATTGGCTTTGGAAAAGATCTGTTTCTGGGTGAGAGATCCAAAGTACAGCACTGTGACCTGAAGAATATCATCTAGCCCCTGAGCCTGTTTTGGCATCCATGAAATGAGACTCACTCTCTCTTTGTGTGACATGCAAAGTGGTTGCGAGGATGAAGTGATGTGTTCCAAAACAAACTCCGAGACGAGTGAGGCTCATGAGGTCCAAAGAGGGGAGGCAACCTGTCTGAAGAACTGACCCCCCTGTTGAGCAGGTCCTCAGCCGAGCACAGAGGACTAGGACAGAGATCAGGGACCGAGGTCAGAGGCAGGAAGTGAAAAGAGGGGAGAGAGCCGAGCCTCGGGAGAGAAGAGAGGCAGAGAAACCGGCAGGAAGACAAGCCAGACAACTCCAAGTGTCCACATGGCAGCTCCTGGGGACAGCATCTGGGTCTTCGGTTTGCCAACAAAGTGGGGTACACTCCATGGTCTCAATTACACAGACACACACACACCCCCTAACTGAAGTATTCTTTCATTGCCAATGCCCCAGAGCAAGCACAGAAAGAGATTCAGGAGTACTGACCTTCTACCCTATTCTCCCTCCCAACACCACAGACATGAATCCAAAGCTCTTAGAAAAACCTAATGGATTTAAGGAGGTCTATGGGGATTCTGGTGGCCCTTCAGGAAAGAGCTGTGTGCATGGCCCACCTGTGCCATCCGGCATCCCGCAGACGTAGGTGGGCAGCATCTTGACTGTGGCCAGCAGGTGGGTATCCCTCTTCAGCCCGTACTCGAGCTCCGCCCGCATCTTGTCCTGCATACCCACAAGTTGCTCTCGGGTCAGCTGGAACAAAGCCAGCACTTTGTCAATCTGCTTCCGCTGGGCCTGCACCCGGGAGGCCACCGCTGTCACCATGGCTGCCCCCATGGTGCTACCACTCTGTGACAGGAGGAAGCGGACGTCACAGTTCGGGACCAGTCTCCTCACCACCTTGTGCAGACGTTTTGGGTATCTGAAAGCAGGGGTGATGGCAAAACACGTGAAGGTTATAAAGGCCCAGGCCCGGCCAGTGGGAACAGACACAGCTGTAGCAGTGGAGCCGGGGCCTGGGGAGCTCTGCTGGGCCGGGACTCACTCCTTTAGCTGCTAGACGGTGTAGGGGCAGGGTGTGACTAGGGGAGGGACTGGGCAGCTGGGACAGTGGAAGGGACACTCAGGAGGCTCAAAGAAGTGGCTATTTTACCACTAATATTTCAATATGTTCATGCATAACATATTGGCAAAACATCGTCTCTGTCCAAAGGGGAAGGGTTCTGTCCCCAGCTCTTTCCAGGGGCACCAGCCTGACTTCCAGTGTCACCTCTGTTAGCCAGAGAGGCTTTTGCACTCCCTCCTTCTGGGACATTCTCGTTTCCACATGTTTTCCTACCAGTATCCTTCATGTGAACTTTGTAACCTCTGGCTTCCCAATTTTTCCCCATATGTAACTGAGTGTGTTTTTCCAACCCTCCCACACAGTAGGTAGTCAAAGACAATGGGCAGATAGATGAATAGATGAATAGATGGGTGGCCAGATGACTAAACACAGAAATGGATGATCTTGCTAGTCAGGCAATTAATGGCTTTAGCAGAATATTTCTCTATGAATAATCCCCCAAAGCACCCAGCCAGCTACATGGCTGCATGGATGCAGTCTCTGAATTCAGCCCTTCCCCTGAATTCTCAGAACCAACAGGAGATGCTTGGTTCCAGAGGAACAGCTTAGTTTAGAAAGGACCCAGGAACTCTGTTCCAGGGGAGGCACGCCTAGGGGTGGGACTGCAGGCAGCACTCACTGAGGGTGTATCTTGTAGAGTGTGCCATCCACGCCCACCGTGGTCCGGAGCCGCACCAGCTTCTTATTCTCCCGGAGGCGTGTCAGGATGGCTGCGAGGGCCGCCGCGCAGAGATTGGCTGACCGGAAGGAGACGATGGTGCAGACGTGCTGGACCGCAACACAGTCGGCCTCTGAAGGCTCCAGGCCCAGATCCGTGAGGATCTCCCTTGTATTGGCAAGGCCTTCTTTATACCTGGCCAGAGGACGGGAATGAGAGGACCACCCTTTTCCATCCCATGGCAGACCCCTTGGAGAACCAGCTTGCTCACCTCTCAGGACTGTGAAAAGAAACAGGCTGGCCCAGTCATGTAATAACAATATAAAAACCAGTTGTAGGAGCCACCGTTTACTGAGCACTCACTACATACCAGGCACTTGTCTAAGGATCTGACACGTACCAACTTAATCCTCACAACAACCCTGGGGGAAATTTTGTCATTACCATATTGCACAGGAGAGAGGCCTAAGGCACAGAGAGGATAAGCAACTTGTCCACCGTCACACAGCTAGTAAGTACAAGGGTCAGGATTTGAACTCGACTCAGGCAATTAGATTACAGAGTCCACCCTTTTAACCACCTTGTACTATACTACCTTTTGCTGAAACTCAGTCCCTGTCCAGCTCTGCACAAATACAGACTCTGGGAGTCAGATGCCATTTCGCTGAGCTCACAATCTAAACTGATTAAAAAGCTCAAGGCAATGCTGGGGTTTCTAAGCTGGAGGAAGAGGACCCTAAGTTGACTGGGGCCAGATCCCATTGCAGGGACCCGTGTATGAGGCCTCAGATCGCCAAAGCCAAAGCCAGTCCCCAAGAGCACCAGGCAGAGAAGGCTGTTGCTGTAGCAGACATTCCTGAGTTCCATGCGTGGGCTTTAATGGGTCCGAAGATGCCCTGATATCACAAGCAAAATTGTGTGCGAATATACATTTTTGTCCAGGACTTGAGTGAGATTCTCAAAGGGGTCTGTGACCCTAAAAATTTTATAAATCACCATTTTAGGGAGGCAGAAGGTGACAAAACATGAAGAAGGTGCAGACCTCCGTCAGCGGAACCCCAGGCCGATGAGACCAGCAGCAAGAAGCGGCATCTGAGACATAGCAGGCACTGCCAACCCACCTCAAGCTGTGACCGGGTCTAAAACCAGCCCAGTGAAGAAGGAAGATCTAGTCCCTTCTCAGGGCCCATGACTGCCATCACGACAACGCCATGCCTTGGCTGCCCACCCAGAACTAACCCCCGGCGGAGTCAAGGTGGGAGGGACCCAGCCAGCAGCTTACTTCTCCATGGCAGCCACGTGCCGGGTCTCAATCGCGCCCTTGGTGTGGAGGCTGGAGGATTTCTTGCCGCCGAACAGAAGGCCTGCCTTGGCCATCTTCAGCAAGATGAGCCTGACGAGTTCGCCTAGGTACAGGCCGCTGATCATCTTCTCAAACCTGCAGTTTGGTGAACAGATCGTGGCAGAAACACCTTTGGTTATGCACACCCTTTCCCAAACCCAGGAGCATGAGTGGTGGGAGGGCCGGGCCACGGACCAGGAGCCCTCCAGCCCCGTCCCAGCTTGGGGTGCCCTCTCCTCACCTAAAAAAGGGGAGGATGAAACTGGAGGAGATCTAAGGTTCTTTTCTGCTCACAAAGTGCTTGACCCCAAGAATCTGTAACCCAGTCACCCCTGGCCATGGGGGTGTCATTCTCATATTAGGCATTAGGAATCTCAACTTTAGAGACTCTGGTACTCTCCCAATCACGGCACGACAAATCCAAATTTCAGATGCTCCCCACTCCCACACCAAGCTTCTGTTCAAGAGAGAAGGAGGCTGTGTCTGTGAGGTGGCCTTGGACGGCCCCAGGAGGTTCCATGAAAAGGTGGGTGGAAGGTCCCTACACCTGGACTCTGGTCTGCATCCACCAAGCAGTTACTGATTATTTCCCAGGTAAACTACTAAATATGTTTTGATTCTCCAAATGTAGTAAGATAGAAAAATCAAGGAAACCTGTTTATTAATCAACTTTATCTATTTCATTATTAAAAATCTTAGAACACTGCAGAAGCAAAAGACAAAAGAGATCCAGGTTGGCTTTGGGGGAGTGGAAATTATCTGAAGTGAAATGGGGAGGGCAGGGTGACAAAGCCAAAAATGAATGAGCGGCCCTTCCTCGGGCTGCGGCCGCTCTGCACCACCTGTGAAGCTTTGGGCGCACGCTGGGGAGCAGGCGCATCCAAAGCAGAAATGCACCTCCCACGTAAGCATGTCTGTGTTTAAATGTGTTCTCGCAGGTACTTAAACTTTTTATTCACCAGGACTTCTTAGAAAAATGGTTGATCCCAGGGCTGGGGCTGGGAAAACACACGATGAACCTGGAGCATCTGACTGGGCCAGAAAAAAAAGAGTGATGGGAACATGTCAAAAAGGATGCAGGGACCAGCTCGAAGGGGATTCCGCTGGCCAAATCTAAAAAAATTTGATTAAAAAAAACATGGGAAGAAATTATAACCCATGAAATTAAAAATCTCTATGAATCCATATCAGTATAAATAGATAAACAGAGGGCACAAGGAACCTCTTCCTTACAGTAGAATAACAACTAATCAACAGAGGACATGAAGGATTTAGAAATTCATCAGTGGATGCCAAAACTAGAAGAGGAGAGTTCAATGAGAAACCGCATCTCTTCACTGGATACTCATTCATCGAGAGGGAATAATAGCACCCTTATGGTGGGGACACCTGTCCCACATCCCTTGAACCAAGGGATTCAAGTCGCATCCCCGGTAACGGGACAAACGCCGGCCTCCAGACACAAGGCACCGAAGCGCACACACACACCCCCTGTGGGATATTCCTGCCGAAAATTCACCGCCTGAATCTAGTTGCAAGGAAACATCAAACACACCCAAATTGAGGGGCATTCTGTAAAATGAGTGGTTTTGTATGTTTCAGGGTCATGAAAAACAAAGAGACACCCCAGAAGAGTTCAAGGTTAAAGGAGGCTAAAGAGACATGGCAGCAAATCACAGTGTGTGATCCCGGACTGGACCGAGGGCCAGCACCACTGTTTTCTTCTTCAGAAAGGACAGTAGTGGGTCAGCGGGTGAACTCTGAATAAGGTCTGTAAAATAGATCTTCGATTATGTGTTAACTCCCTAATTTTGATAATTATACTTTGGTTATGTAAGAGAAAGTACTTGTTTTCAGGTAATACACTCTCATGTATTAAGGAGTGAAGGAATATTATGTATGCAACTTAGTCTCAAATGGTTCAGAAAAATAATTTTGTACAGACATGTGTATTTTATGCACATATGTGTATTTTATATGTATATAAGCATATACAAACACAGAGAGAGAGAATGTTACTATTTAGGAAATCTGAATGAAGGGGAATTTTGTATGATTTTCTCAACTTTTCTATAAGTCTAAAATTACTTTTTTAAATTTTTAGTGTTTTTCCACTCAGCACTTAAGGAGCTGTCCGTAATGTGTGAGACGCTGTGTAGCACGGACAGGCGAGCAGCAGGTGGAGCCCGCCCTCGGGAGCGCAGCACTCAGACAGCGCTGAGCCGGACCCTCAGTGGCTCCCCTGCAGGCAAGCATGGGCTGAGGGCTGAGGGCTGAGAAGGTGCCCACGACGGGAGGTGGGAAGGAGTCGCACCCAGTGCTGAGTGATCAGGCCTCCGGCAGCACTGGTGTGTTCTGTGGCCACTCATACAAATGCACCAAGAGGGCAAGACCCGCATCATCTGGTTCATAGCTGCATCTCCCCTGCCTCACACACACGTGCTCCAGAAACATGGACTGAATTAGAATTCGATTATAATCAAAGCAAAATCACTCTATTTCCTTGGCTTTACTTCCTCATCTGCCCATGAAACTAAAATACAGACCTTGCCTCATACACTCCCTGTGATGGGAAACTAGTTGCAACTAAAAAGCCCCCCAGGTTTAAGGTGCCCCGGGTGACAGGTACTTCCTGGTGCTGATGTCCGGGCTATCGCACAAGGGCACTCACAGTTGCTTCCCTGGGTTGAGAGAGCCGAAGTCCAGGTCGCGGTCAAACTCAGTGCGGATGTCTTCCAGGGCCCCATCGTCCCCAAAGGCCCCCCACTCAGTGTTGATGCACATCCTGCCCTCGTCGCCCTCCACCAGGTCAATGTGGCTCATGTCCTCCATGTAACACGCGTTGGTGCCAGTGCCTGAACAAGGGATCGGAGAGAAGACGCAAAAACAGAAGGGCTCCCAGCTGGGCAAAGGCAGGGAGAGCCCTTCCCTGCCTGGGAGTTCTCTCACTACAGCACAGAGTGCTCCTGATGCTCTGCAGGGCCGGTTCTCGCTGAGGAAGCAGCAGCTTTGGCAAGCCCAGGGAGTTCATGAGGAATAAAGCTGACGAGTCAAGTCTACACTTCTTGGGCTGCCAATGGTTTGCTGTTATGAATGAAGTTGATTGTGAGGAAGTCCCTATTGAATATGTATGAGAGCTGACAAAGCACATTTACAGAGGAGGATGAGTTAACCTAACCTTACTTTTTTTAATTACCAACCCACAGTAATTTTTTTAATCCTTTCCCTAAGCCACTTCATCTCTTCTCTATTTGATAGTAAAGATATTCTTTATTCGTGAACTGCCACAAACTGCTCCTAGCATAAACTACATCTTTACCTTTGACAGTGACAAGCTGTCATATAAGAAAGCAAAATTTCATTATTCCAACACAAAATCACTCCAAGGAAATGCCTCGAACATTTGAGTACCAGGGAGTGACTGCAAATGGGCGCCATCTGTTTGGCACCTGCTGGGGCAATGGAAATGTTCTGAAATTAAACAGTGGTGATGGTTACAAAACTGTAAATTTACTAAAATTGATTGAACAGTACACCTAAAATGAGAAAATTTGTATGCCTCAGTAAAGCTGTTTCTTAAAAAAATTAAAGTGTCTTTCCCTGGCTGAAATTCTGGGCTGACGATTTTTTTTTTAAGGTTTTATTTATTTATCTTTAGAGAGGAGAAGGGAGGGAGAAAGAGAGGGAGAGAAACATCAATGTGTGGTTGCCTCTCGCATACCCCTCACTGGGGACCTGGCCCGCAACCCAGGCACGTGACCTGACTGGGACTCGAACCGGCAACCCTTTGGTTAGCAGGCCAGCGCTTAATCCACTGAGCCATACCAGCCAGGGCTGGACTGAGGATTTTAAAGCCAACATGAGAAATAAGAAATGCAGAGAGACAAAATATAATACATTATTTGGGAAAAGCTTTCTCAGGAAACTATGGTAGACACTGCTTAGGCACAGCACACACAGGTAACCATGGGCCCTGTGTTGAGTTGCCTGACATAGTCACTAGGACAGACACAGTGGGCAGTAGCTGGGTGCTGGGCCTGGCAAGGACTGGTCCTATTCTGAGGCTCCAGAAACAGGAAGGCAGATCAAGCCCCTGAGGTATAAAGATCCTGCCCTTCAGGAAAGTCAGGCTGAGCAGATTGTGGTTAGAAAACTAGGGGCGGGTGGAAATGGGAGGGAGGAGGGGAGGGCTGGGTGGGTGGGTTGGGATGGGAGTAAAAGATAGAAAATTGTACTGCAACAACAATTTAAATAAAATTTTAAAAAGTAAGCAGCAATTCCCTCCAATCACACACACACACACACACACACACACACACACACACAAAGTCAAGAAAAGGCAATGCAGGAAACGTTTCCCAACAGTGGTAGAGGAATGAGGAGGTGGAAGGGGGTACACAAGAACAGCCTTTCAATCTGACCCATTAGGCTTCAGTTGCCCCCCACGCTGCGTTCTCACGGACCCTTCAGCAGGGCTCCTCCCCTCCCAGCTCAGGGACCACCCGCCAGATGCCTCCGCTGCACTGCCACCTCGCTGGTGCGGCCACCACCACATCTCGCCTACACAGTGAAGTCGACTCTTGGCTGGTCACCTTGCTTCCACTATTGGCCCAAATAGTCAATTCTCCACACAGCAGCCAAAATGAGCTTTTTAAAAATGCACACCTCATTTGTCCATCCCCCACCCAGTGTCCTCCAGCGCCTTCCTGTCTCCTTTGGGGGAGAAGCCAAAGATCCTACACTGACTGTGTCTGTGACCTACACAATCTGTGCAGTCCCGTCCACTCTCTCTAACCTGAGCACCGGGCTACCCTCAGCCCTCACTCGCTCTGACTCGGGCCCCACCTGGCCTCTCAGGGTTTTTCCTGCAGCAGGCTCATTCTCCTTGCAGAGAACACAGGCTTCCTATTTCCTTGGCTGAGAACTCGCCTCTTGATCTCCACTCTGCCCCCTCCCCCACTCTGCTGAGGTCCCTGCTTGAATGGACCTCTCCAAGGGTCCTGCTCTGACCACCGTCGCACTCACTCTCCGTTGCCTCCCCCTGCTTTCTCTTCTTTATCCCAGTCGGCGCCACCTGAAACTGTCTCATTTATTTAGGCCTTGTCTGCCTTCCACCCACCTCCCCACTAAAAGCTCCACAAGCACAGGAGCCTTTGAGTGTGAACTCACCACTGAGAACCCAGTGCAGAGACAGGGCCTGACACTCAATAGGCATCTAGGAAATACTTGTGGAATGAACGGACAGATGTGTGCACTGGGTTTTCATGTTCTCCTAAGAGGAAGCCCCAATACCCTCCCTGCAGAGTTTGCTGAAACTAAACCCTAAGCCAGCCCCATTCCCCCATCTCCAAAAAGCAAGTCAGACTGAGTACCAATGATGACACCAACTTCACAGAAGGGATCGTCATAGGCACAGGTCATCATGGTGCCCACGGTGTCATTGACCAAGGCCAGGATGTCCACATCGAGGTCCTGTCGGAACACAAGCCCCAGAAGGCATCAGTGGGTGGGAAAGGGATGTTATCCCTTCATCCTTCCCCACGGAGAACCCCAAGTGAAGGCAGCTGGTTGGGAAAATCACTAGATCCTGCCTGCTTGGTGTGCCCGACAGAAGCCAGGCCTTTGTCACGGTTCAGGGGTCTAGGCAAGGGGAAGAGTGGTTGCAGAGGGGACCCATACTCCTCCTGCTCTGAGGCTGAAGGCCTCTGTGCAACGGAAATGTGAGGGGCAGCCCACGGGGCTCTAGCCCTCGTCTGAGGGACACTGAGGAAAACATGTTTATCTTGGAAGCAAAGATGTTTCCAGGAGAAGACACTGAAGTCCTCATGGTAGGGACACCTCAGGCACAGCCAGCCAAGTCCTCTCCATGGGCAGCACCACGGGCTTCCCGCCTGGGTTTCCTGCCTGGGTTTCCCTTCTGCCAAGACAGCCTGGGTTATTGCATTACTGTTCCCTGAGGCTTGGGGGAGCATTTTAGAGTAAAATGAAAACAGTAAGAGAAAGACACAGACTACCAAAGAATATGATCGCAGCGTTAAAGAGGGAAAGAAGTGGGAGGGCATCCATCACAACAGTCCTCTTGCTGTCAGGGTAGCAACTAAGCTGGGTTTATTTGTGTACTCTTCAACTAGCAAGGAGCATGTCTTGCTTTTAAGTTATTATACAATTTATTAAACAAATACAGACACTCAACGAATAGAGAGTGGAAGTGGAATAGAGAACCAGACTGGAAAGAGAGTGATCTTTTAAGCCTCAGAGAGGAGCTGTGGGGGGTCAGAGCATTACACACAGCAGGGGTCTGACCAAGACACGCCCCTCCCAAGGGCCGTGGCAGCTGGGGAGGCCCTAGGGGTGTGTGGCCCACTGTTCAGCAGTAACTGGAACAAGCTTCACATACCAAGGCTCACCAGTGGGTTTATCCAAATAGCCACACCTGTACCACATGAGACCTTCCCTGAGATCAGCTCCTTTTCCGGGCCTCCTTCCCAGGCAGGCACCGGGTGAGACCTCCCCAGCAGGAGGCAAACTCCTCACCTGGTGACTTTTCAGGGCTTTGTTTAGACAGCTCACTACGTCTGTGCCCTGAACTCCCCGGGCCTTGAACTTCTTGGTCCAGGAAAGCAGGATGCCCTGGGGGAAGAATTCAGAGGCAGTCTAAACAAAGAGGGCACTCAGTTCTGAAAACACACTGCAGGAATTTTATGTTTAAAGTGCAACCCCCTCTTCTCTTTAAGCTGAACCACCCCAATTCTTTCAATATCTCTTCAGAGGCCTTTTCTAATAATTTAAGCATCTTTATTATTCTCCTCTGAGCAGTTTGAAATGTTACACATAGTGGCAGAAAGAATAATTGCTAAGTGTTAGGACACTTAGAATCACAAGACGTCACACAAGCCATTCAACCTCTCTAACGCTCCGTTCGCTCATCTGTAAAATGGAAACGTCACTTCCCTGCCCCTGTCACAGGAATGGTCTATGGAAGCACCTGGTGTGTGGTAGATACATACCTGTGTGCAGAACGTATGGTCTGCCAGGTCCACAAGACAGAACTAACATGGTGTTACCTTGTAGAACTCCCTCGGGAACTTAATTTCAACTACAGAAATGGTTCTCAATTTGTGTTATCAGGTATTTGCTTAAAACTGGTGTTTCCCAAGAGTTTCATGTCTAAACTAGCAAATAATCAGAATTTTTCAGGCCAGACAAGGTCTTCGAGATTTAGGGTTCTCCAAGGCCACTCGGTCAAGAGTAGCTGAGCCCAAACTCACAGACACACTGACCATATCTTCCCAATCCCATCTGTTTACAGATAATGACGCTGAGATTCCGAGAGGAAGAAATCCGTCTGGTGTCACAGGGAGTGAAGGGCAGGGCTCAACTGGAATGCTGGCCTCTGACTCCCAGTTTACCACCAGGCTTTCCCCCTGCACCATAGCACCACCTAGTGGTCACTCTCCCTAACTTCTGCCTTCACAGGCTATGGTAACGTCCCTACTTCATCTGAGACATGGTGGGGTGGCATCCCCACCAAAAAGGTGCTAGGGACAACGTGGGACTTGTTGGGGGTAGGATATTTGGAGGAGTAAGGAAAAAATGCTTGTGATGTACTGTGATGAAAAAAGTAGTGCCTATAACTATATTTTTTAAACTATATATACAGCACAACATCTAATATGGACATGAAAACCCAATTCTAGCCCTGGCTGGTGTAGCTCAGTGGATTGAGCGTGGGCTGTGAACCAAAGTGTCGCAGGTTCAGGACTTCCAGCAAGATGGAGGCATAGGTGGACGCACCGTACCTCCACGCACAACCAAGATTAGAACAACAATTTAGAGCCAGAATAGCACCCAGAACTGACAGAGAATTTATCTGAATGGAAGTTGGACAGCCAAGAAGTTGAAGTAGACCCATTCATCCAGACTGGTAAGGGGGCTGAGAGGAGGAGCGGGCGCAGGTCATGGCACGCGGAGATCGGGGAGACCTGGGCGCATAAGGCACCGGGAGCGCATAAGCCTTCTGGGGCACACAAGATTGCAGCGCAGCGGTGGACCCTGAACACAAGTGACCAGGCCAGGGCGGGGGCGGGGGGAAGAGAGACATGTGTCCAACGGAAGAACAGATCAGCCCCCCAGGACTCATCCTTTTGAGCGACCAAGAAATAGCCAATCTATCAGATGCACAGTTCAAAACACTGGTGATCAGGAAGCTCACGGAATTGGTTGATTTTGGGCGCAAATTAGATGAAAAAATGCAGGTTACCATAAAAGAGATGAAGCAAGATGCGCGGAGAACCAATAGTGAAGGGAAGGAAACTGGGACTCAAAACAATACAGTGGACCAGAAGGAAGCAAGAAACAACCAAGCAGGAAAACATGAAGAAGTAAGAATTCAAAAAAATGAGGAGAAGCTTAGGAACCTCCAGGACATCTTTAAACGTTCCAACATCCGAATTATAGGGGTACCAGAAGGGGAAGAGGAAAAGCAACAGATTGAGCATGTATTTGAACAAATAATAAAGGAGAACTTCCCCATTCTGGCAAAGGAAATAGACTTCCAAGAAATCCAGGAAGCTCAGAGAGCCCCAAAGAAGTTGGACCCAAGAAGAAACACACCAAGGCACATCATAATTACATTAGCCAAGGTAAAAATGAAAGAGAGAATCCTAGAAGCAGCAAGAGATAAGGGGACAGTAACCTACAAAGGAGTTCCCATCAGACTGTTAGCTGATTTCTCAAAAGAGACCTTACAGGCAAGAAGGGGTTGGAAAGAAATATTCCAAGTCATGAAAGACAAGGACCTACATCCCAGATGGCTCTATCCAGCAAAGCTCTCATTTAGAATGGAAGGGCAGATAAAGTGCTTCTCAGATAAGGTCAAGTTAAAGGAGTTCATCATCACCAAGCCCTTATTTTATGAAATGCTAAAGGGACTTATCTAAGAAAAGAAGATAAAGAAAAAACATGTATAGTAAAAGAACAGCAAACTCACAATTATTAACAACCACACCTAAAGCAAAACCAAAAGAAACTAAGCAAACAACTAGAGCAGGAACAGAACCACAGAAATGGAGATCCCATGGAGGGTTAGCAACAGGGGAGTGGGAGGAGGAGAGAGGGGGGAAAGGTACAGAGAATAAGTAGCATAGAATGTAGGTTGAAAATAGATAGGGGGAGGGTAAAAATAGTATAGGAAATGTAGAAGCTAAAGAACTTATAAGTATGACACATGGACATGACTAAAGGGGGGGATATGGGTGGGAGAGGGTGTACAGGGTGGAGGGGAGTGAAGGGGGAAAATGGGACAACTGTAATAGCATAATCAATAAACTATATTAAAAAAAACAACAACAAAGTGTCGCAGGTTCGATTCCCAGTCAGGCCATATGCCTGGGATGCAGGCCATGACCCCCAGCAACCGCACATTGATGTTTCTCTCTCTCTCTCTTTCTCTCTCCCTTCCCTCTCTAAAAATAAATAAATAAAATATTTTTTTAAAAAAACAATCTAGTAGTGAGTATCTCTGAAGATGGGGATTACAGGGGATTTCTACTTTCTCCCTTAAACTTTTCCACTTCTGTCTCCCTCTCTCTTTTTGTTTTTCCTATCTTGAATAAATATTACCATTTTATCATTAGAAACACATACACACACAGAAATTTCTCTTCACCTAAGACTTCTGTTCTCTCATGAAAAAACAACAGAACAAAGACAAAATAAACAAAGTGATGTCCTCTTTTAATTTCCATGAATTTACCTTCTTTGATCATGTTTTAGTTACACAAAGAAGACCCCTGGCCAGACCTCTTCACAAAGGCTTCCCCTCCCCTCCTCCTTCCGCACTTGCTTGGCTGAGCAGACCACCTTCTCCAAGAGCCCGGATGTAGGCGTCACGAAATCTCCACCTGCTGCTCAGCCAAGGCTAAACAGCCGTGCCCATACTCAGTTACTGTCATTAATTCATCTCCTGTGTCTAAAGCTTTTCTTCCTCACTTTCGACTTCACTGAGAGGCAGTTTGGGAGGAAATTGTATAAATTACAAGTAATTCAACTAAAAGCATTTCTCACTTCCTTGATATAATCAAGTGCCCTTCCCTCGTTCAAATGTTCCTTGAAAATCCTCATTGGAATATGACACAACATGGGCCGAAATGCTTTCAGGCACCTGCTGGCATTGAAACGAAGTTCCCAAGCTGTGTCTTTCTGAAAAGGCGATTTGATCAGGAGTTTGCATGCTTGGGTTGAGTCATTTTGGCTGTGTGGCCTTGGGCAAGTCTTTTAACCTCTCTGAGCTACAATCTTTCTCAAATATAGAAATATCAGCATAGTATAAGACACTGTGTTAAAATCTGAGGTCCATTATTATCATTATTAGATGCTGTGGGCATTTGACTTAGATAAATGTCAAATTCCTGGATGGACAAACCATACATTCACCCCTAATTATTAAGAAAATATGGAAGTTTGGTTCTCCAAGTCAGACTGACTCCTACAGAGATTGAGAATTTTCTTCCTCCTCCGTGGGATCTCCGGAGCTCGAATAAGAGGTGTTGCACTGCTGGGCGAGTCCGGCCTCCAGGCCTGACTCCTGATCCCCCCTCCCACTTCCTCTACTGACTGCAGGGACTCTGCTCTGCCAGCCAGAAGGAGAAGACACTTCAGAGCACAGCTCCACCTGGCCTCTTCTAACATTCCCTGAAAACTTCCTCTACTGTTTTTCCCTAATCCTTTCTCTCTCTCTTTTTTTTTTGTGGCATTCTTTTTTTTTTAAAGATTTTATTTATTTATTCTTAGAGAGGGAAGGGAAGGAGATAGAGAGAGAGAGAGAAATATCAATGTGTGGTTGCTGGGGGCCGTGGCCTGCAACCCAGGCATGTACCCTGACTAGGAATCGAACCTGAGACACTTTGGTTTGCAGCCTGCACTCAATCCACTGAGCTACGCCAGCCAGGGCTTTCCCTAATCCTTTCTTTATCAAATAATGAAAAAGTACATTTCAATCCATCCCCTGTATGGATAGATGATGGTAAATTCTTGTTTAATGCAATCAAGTAAATGATCAATCACACCCTTCGATTGTCAGACAGTTATCAGACACCTAGGAAATACAAGACGTCGTGCTCGAGACCCTGGGGTGGAGAGGAAGAACGCTGTAGAACAGTGCCTGCCCTCCCAAGACATCCGTTGAATGGGGGACAATCATCCTCATCCTCAGTGACCACTGACACAGCAGGCACGGTGTTGCACATTTCAGGTATTTTGTCTGAGGTTTACCTTGCCGCAGCAAGTAAATATTATTAAGCAAGTTTTACAGATAAGAAAACAAGGGGCTCAAAAAGTTAAGTAACTTCCCAGGGAACACAACCTTCCTGAACAATGATTCAAAGCCACGTCTGTGGGAGGTGAAAACCCATCTCCTGTCCACTCTCTGATACCCATAAGTCAGTGGTACCACACACATCCCAGGGTGGTCCACGCTACCAAGGCCATCCATGGCATGGCCGTCCGCTGGGTGTCGTGACCAGCTGGGTGTCGTGAGCACAGGCTCCCACCCCAGACAAGCGAGACCTGGGAAGACCTGCCCCTTGACCATAAAGCCCTGGCCTCAGAAAGTTTATTCTCATTTCATATGGACCTTTATTTATTTTCACAGATTTATATAAAATTGGGTTTGACATCTCCCTATTCACAAATTAAAAGTCTGAGACACACAGAGATGAATTACCTAAGCCCTCAGCTGGCTAGTGGCATGGCTGAGACTACGTCCCCGGTGTGGCGTCTGCTCAACGACATTGTCCCTCCAGTGACCCCTCTGCAATCCTCCCCCTAAGGGCTCATGTAGAGGTGAGGCTCCCCCAGCCTTCCCACTCCAGTTCTAGCCAGCCGTCTGCTGCCCCCAGACCAGCAGCATCCCGATCACGCAGGACCCTGCTAGAAATGCAAACCTGAGGCCCCACAGATCAAGAAACTCCAGCAGGGCCCAGCAATCCACCTCTAACAAGCCCTCCAGGAGATTTGGATGCCGCCCAGGTCTGAGACCCACTGAGCAAAGGGGTGAGAACCACGCCATTCCCCTGTGCCGTGCCCATGTGGAGCGTGCAATCCAGGCAGCCACGTTAACCAGCTCTCTGCCTCACATTTCCACGTCATCGTTTACAAGAAGAAAAACAAAGAAGGCAAGGAAAGTCCTGCTGATCCCTCCTGTTCCTGGCCTGACTCCCACATGTTCTCCAGGCCCACACTCCAAATCCTGCACCTCTTCCTCCCTGCCCAGCCCCAGCCTTACCTCTTCCAGTTTAGTCTGTCTGCAGGGAAAAGAAAAGGTTAGGCCAAGGGGCAACTTCTTATGCTTCAGCCCTTTGGTCTTCATGAAATCTGCCAGACAGTCAGCCACGTATTCAAACAGCTGTAGAGAGGAGAGAGCACAGGACACCGGACTGAAGCACGGCCACTCACACTCACGAGGCTGAGGCCTTCCCTCCGAGCACAGGCCCCCGCCCTGGTACCTCCGAGCCATTCCCTCGGATGATCTCGTTGGGCGTCGGGTAGAACTGACTCTCCATCTGCACGTGTTGTTTCCCCTCTTCAGAGACTTGTGCCTTTGAGACTCGAAACTTAGATCCTCCAAGATCCAGGGAAAGAAACTCTCCATTCTCTATTTAAAAACAAATGAAATAAAGTTATCATTTATTGAGGGTCTGCTATATGGCAAGATCTACATTCGAAGTTGGACGTGTAAGACATGTCATTAGTCTCACAACCACCCCACAGAGCGAGGCATCCTTTTGTACACTTGCTGAGATCCCAGAGCCCTCCCAAGAAGGGGCAGAACTGGGGTGTGGGCCAAGCCTCTCACGGCCCCGTCCACTGAGCAGGGCTGTAGGGAATAACTGTATTCCTGTGGAAAAGGCAAACGCAACTTGACAAGAGATGGGCCTTGAGGGTGGGGCCTATTATTAGCAGGCCACCTCCGGGGGAGAGAGCTGCTGCTCCAAGCATGGGGGCTGCAGATAGAGCATGGAGGAAAGGGAGGGGGCAGTGCAGGGAGGAGAAACCAGCCCCATACCAGCCTCTGTCTCCTGGGCAGAGGGAAAACACTCCAGGACAGAAGGGAGACAGGGGCTGGAGGCAGGGACCAAATGATGGCCACTAAGGGGTCAAGTATGCTCAGTATTTTGGGCCAAAGTCATTTCGAAATGAGAAAATGTACCACCACCCAGCCAAGCACAAGACAGAAGCTATTGACAAAAGGGGAAATGATGCACGTGTTGAGGCAAGGCGGCCCACCCTAATGACTGCAGCTCAGGACCCAGACAGCATTCCTTCCCGGGGCCCCTGCCACAGCCTTCAGCGTCAGCCACGGATATGGGATGAGAACTTAGGTGTGCGAACCCTTGAACCAGCAAGCCTTTCTAAAGAATTGTCTGTGCCTGAAAAGTGGCTACGTGCACCGAGCATGAGTCATCAGATATGCCAAAGGCACAGAGAAGTGAAACACCAGGCCCACAAATTCCAGCACCCAAGTGGTCTTGTTTTGTACCATGGGACCCTAGACACTGATGCATGGATCTAGGGGGCCTGCTGGCTATTCAGATCCCCATCCTGAGAAATAAAACACAGAGGGAGCCCCGGCCCCAGCTCGTGTGGCTCAGTGGATTGAGCACCAGCTTGTGAACCAAAGGGGTCACTGGTTCAATTCCCAGTCAGGGCACATGACTGGGTTGCAGGCCAGGTCCCCAGTAGGGGGTGTGCAAAAGGCAACTACACATTAGTGTTTCTCTCCCTCTCTTTCTCCCTCCCTTCCCCCCTCTCTAGAAGTAAATAAATAAAGTGTTTTTAAAATATATATATAAAAAAAGGGAAATTGCTGGTAGGTGGTAAAAACTTAAATAGAAGCATCCTGAAAACTAGAGGTTAACTGGGTAGCCGGAGTGGCCACAGGGATGTAGGCTGAAACCACAGCGGAAAACTCCTGAGTCCTAGTCCCCTGGAGGCCTGGAGGGAACACAGTTTCACCCTCAGAGTCCCACAAGATCCTATGTGTCTCCATTCACTGTCATGTGTCCTTGTACAACAATCCTCTGTTCCAGGCGATCAAAGAACTAGAGGCCGGCCCTGAAGCTGCTCTTCAAGCTTTAGGGTGCCTGTGACTCTCCCAAGAATCGTGTTAACACACAGACTGTGATTTAGTGGACATGGTGCTTGAGCTTTTCAGATTTGGAGACTTCAAAACAAGCCCCAGCCCTGGCTGGTGTGGCTCAGTGGACTGAGTGCTGGCCTGCTAACCAAAAGGTTGCAGGCTTGATTTTCAGTCAGGGCACATGCCTGGATTGCAGGCCAGGTCCCCAGTAGGGGGTGTATGAGAGGCAACCACACACTGATGTTTCTCTCCCTCTCATTCTCCCTCCCTTCCCCTCTCTAAAATAAATAAATAAAATCTTAAAAAAAAAAAAACAAAACCAAGCCCCAGTTGCCACCTGCTGCTGGTCAGTGGACCACTATTAGAGTAGCAAAGGTTTAGAGCCCTCATTTACAGACCTAGCCAGCTGGACTTTTTGTTTCCATGGAGACATCTGGAAAACAAGATGCTCACCTCCCCAGATCATCCCCCAAAGGAGCCTGACGGAGCCATTTATTATTCAGGAGGGAATCCAAGAACCTGAGCCATCTGATTAGTACTCATCAGGTACCAAGTGAGAGCTTTCACAGACGGCATCTCCTCACGTAGGAAGTAGGGTGGATCACACAGCCCGTGCACGAATTTACTGAGTATGACTCTACCACGTGGCAGGCCAGGAGCAAAGATGAAAGACTGTGGGCTCCATCATCAGAAATACGGACAAGTCAGTGAGTCAGTTCCAACCAGGAGGGCAAGTGCTCTGACGGTGGGACGCCAGGGAGTGGCATCTACATCAGGGCAGGAGTGGACAGCCCAGAGCGGGCGACACAGAGCTGAGTGCTGAAGGACGGGAGAGCAGCCAGACGGGAGCCAAGGCCCCGTGGACAGGAAACCGCGTGAAGAAATGAGCTCACGCTGGGCCGAGGGGGCATGGCGGGGCTTTTGAAGAAGGAGGGAGGAAATGAGGCTGGCAGGATTTAGACAAGCCGCCCCACTCCCAAGGAATGTGGGCTTTACCCAGAAGGTGAGGGTGAGCCACGGAAAGATTTTAAGTAAGAGAGTGCTAAGCTCTGGCTGAGATTTTGGGAAAACACCTCTGGCACCAACCAGGATAGACCGAAGGATCTGAATAAAAGAGGAAGTTCTTGTGCTGTGTCCAGGCGGGAAACGGTGTGTGAGACCTGGCACGGTGCTGGCATGGACCATTCATTCTCTGGCCACCAGTGCCACTATCACTACGCAATCACTCTGCTCCACTCGTGACTCAAGAGGCTACGTCATGGGAACCACGTGGTGTGATCTCTTCTGTGACTCTGACCCCAGAGAAAAGACTCATGGACCCTGGTGGGGGGGGGGGCGAGGACCTGGCCAAGAGAAGTGGGGCCATCAGGGTCTTTACAGTCATTATTAAAATTATTAGGACCTCCCATCACAAGAATGGGGACTGTAGTTAATAGTACTGTACTGCACATTTGAAAGTTGCTAAGAGAGTAGATCTTAAAAGTTGTCATCACAAGAAAAACAAAATGTGTACCTGTGTGGTGATGGATACAAACTGGACTTGCTGAGGTGGTCACGTCACAATATATGCAAACACTGAATGACTATGCTATATGCCTGAAACTATATGTTAATTATAACTAAAAAATAAATTTTTAAATGACCCCCCAAGATGGTGAGATTTTCTTGACAATCCACCTGCTGCGGGCGATGCTCCCGTGACCGTCTAGACTGCACGACACCTGGGCTTCCTCCCCTACACCACTGTCAGGGCTTGGGCGCCTGCTCCTCCCCAGTCCCTGGTGCAGCCTCTCCCAAAGGCACACAGTGACTGCATGTGTACACCGTAGAGATTCTGAATCTCCAGGGGGACAAGCCTGGGAAACTGCATATTTAGGAATCTCCCCAGGTGAGTCTTAGCTCACACAAGTCTGGGGCCCCATCCTGGTGCAGGCCCCGGGGCTCACCCCTCAAGGCTCACCACCCCGCCAGGAGGCGGAGGGCTCGGCCTGGAGGAAGAGACCACAAAGAGAGGCAGGTAGCTGGTGCCAGGCCTTCCCAGTCAGATGACAGGCACTTCCTTCAGGACTGGTAAAGGGGAAGGGACCACTGGTAACAACACTTTGAAGGCACTTTGTGAGAAGAGTCAGGTGCAGCTCCCTGGCTGAAACACGGGGAGGGAACTAGGGCTCAGATGGTTATACCCCCATCAGGCAGGCTCAGATGACAGGAGCGGAAACTACAGCATGGTTAGTGTTCATGAAACCACACCTCCAGCTCACGAGAGTTACTGAGGACTTGGGACATTTTGGAGACTTTAAAACAATCCTGCCACATAACCTCACCCAGCCTCAGTGGCTCTGCAAGCTGGTAGCACAAACCGGCCACAGCCCTCGTATGGGTGAGGACAGGAGTGCAGGGGTCGCGGGACCTGCCAAGGCCTCTGCGCTCAGACCCCAGCAACAGGACACCTAGGAAAAGTCATTTAAGATTTGTTGTGTGATGAGAGGCTCTGAGGAGACAGTGAAGACAGCAAGAGGTGTCTCCTGGCCTGAGGAGGCGCGGTTTCTCAAACTTGGACAGTCTCACGTCCAAACCTTCCCTGAGGCAGCCAGGGCCAGGAAAGGCCTGTCCGCCCCACAGCCACCAGACCATCAAAGGCTACTTTCTGATGCTTCCACCGACACATCTCTGCAGGAGGAGCCGCCGCCACACAGGAAGCCAGGACTTTGCCCCGGTGCCTCCCCACACACACACCCCATGACTCAGGTGCTTCCTCCCAACTGCTGGATGACCCGCCAAAGACCACAGTGCCCTCAGCACCCTCAGAGCAGTATCAGGAGCCAGGCAAGGCTTCAAAGCGGGACTGCCTCTCTCCAAAGCTCATGTTCCCCCAGGGAGGTGCACTCCCCACCCTACACACCCACCCACCAGCAAGGGAACAGGTCTTTCTCATCCCAGTTCCCAGGGACGTCTCAAACTGCAGAGCCAAACTGCTTTGACCCAGGCCTTGTCCCAAAGGGGCCCAGAACCTGACCAATCTAATAAAAGGCCCCTGAGAGGGCCTCAGACATCAATCCCTGCCCCTTCAAGAGCCCCAAAGCTGCTGCTGGAGCCTGGTTGGAGCCCTGGGACCCCGACCCTGGGGAAAGCCCTGGGCAGCCCCCAGCCCCACTCACCAGAGCCGTCTGGAATGGCCCTGACAAAGGTGGGCAGCATCTTCACTGAGGCCGTGGGGTTGCTGTCCTTTCCCAGGCCCCTCTGCATTTCAGTCTGGAACCGGGTCATGATGTCCAAAAGGGTCTCATCGGAGAGCCGCATGTGGTACAGGAACCTGTCCACCTGGAAATACACCAAGGGGACTGGGTTTGCCTGCGGTACATGCCTGCTCCGTGCTGAAGCTGCACGGGGACGGCTGTGTGATGAGGATTCCTGAAGGTTCCTTGCCTGACCCCTCATCAAGCTGGGGGCCAGGTGGGGGCTGGGAGGACAGAGTAGAATCAAAGAGGTGGGAATTATTCCTCCAACGGGCAAGATTTGAGGAAGAAATGATTCCCACCATTTTTCTGACGAGACAGTGGAGGGGCAAAAACTGAGAAAGAGCCAGGGTTTCTAAACCCCAGTTCAGAGCCCTCGCCATCATCCCATCGCCTCTCCACCAGAGAAGACTAGCTACAGCTGGAACCTTGAACTCCCAAACACAGACGCTTTCTTTCATCCAATGATGACAATATATATCTGATCACGTTTTCCTTTGTTTGTGGGCTGCTAGGAAGCTGAAAGCAAAATTAGTTTCCGACCTCAATCTCTAAACTCCAATCTTTTATATCTCCATTTTGTTTTTAATTGAGGTTATTCTAATTAGAATGAAGTTTAACTCCTAAAGCCAGCCCCAATTGCTTTTGGAAATGAATAGATGCCACTCAAGTAACCAGGAAACTGGGTCACAGGACCCCAGACGTAGGAAAGTTATAAAAATCACTAGGGCTCTCCTCAGTCCACTTGAAGGTCATAATGTCACACCAAGAACGGAAGAACAGCTTCCTCCCCCATGCTAATCATTCAGTGGGGGCGGCCCGGATTCCCAGGGCTCACTGGGATGGGTTACCGCCTGGGGCAGGAAAAGGGACAGTGGCAGAGGTGCCCGGTATTGCCAGCCCAGTGGCATAGGTGCTGCTTTGTGCTGAGTGACCTGTCTATCCATCCGGGTTGCAAGACTTGACCACAGCATGTTTCTGGATGAATTGTCTCCCACACTTTTATCAAAGGCTAAGAACATGCATTGCAGGCTACGAGTGCTCTCATGTATGTCCCCCCACCTGAAATCCGTGACATCCCTTTGAGGCAGCCATGTAAGGCAACATGATTGTCCCTAATTGAGAGATAAGGGCTCCAAGGTTCAGGCCACTGAGCAGCACTCGGAGAGCTGTCAGTGAGTGGCAGTGCTGGGACTACAATGCAGTCTCCCGAGTCCTTGCCATGTGGCCTGGTTTTGCTTCACAATTCCATGCAGGACCCACAAGCCCAACAGACAAATTAAACCAAAAGCGCAGGGGCCATGTGACCTTCATTACAGGACAGGTGCCCAACCATCGGCCAGGCCCAGAGGGCAGGCATCCCGGCTCCGTCGGGGCCAACACGGACACCCAAGCAAGTGAAAGAGCCCACGGCTCCAGGAACTCGGGGGCCGAAGAGAGGCCAGAAAACCGTTAGAAAGCCATTAACAAAACAGGACAATTGGGCTTTCAGCATGTTTGAGAAGCTAGGCCAGAACCAGGTCATGTTTCATTAAGGACTTCCTGTCACCCTGAGTCTGTTTATGACTAATTGGTTGGCATTGTCATGCACACAGAGAAAACCAACGAAAGGGACGTGACCCAAGTAATTGGGGCTTGGGAAGGGTGAGAGGCGCTACACGAGAATGAAGATTGCCCCCTTCGTCACCTAGGGCCCCTCACATGGAGCCCTTGTGCCTGTCGCTCATTTTCACTCAGCCCTGGAGAACTTCCCCAGGCATCCGCGGAGCGTCACCCCTCCTGTGTGTAACGGTTCTGAGCCCGTGCACATCAGTTGCGAGCTGCAGTTAAACAGTCATTCGGGACTTCGGGTTACTGCTCCTGCTATTTCAGTAATTCAAGTTAGGACAGAAAGAATGTCAACTTAGAAACAGTTTCTTATTTATTCTTTGTACCTTCCACAGAACCTGGTACAGAGCTAGAAGGGAAGGACGGAACACACACTGGGTGAAACCCTATAGTTTAAACCCAAATAGGTGACTCCTGGGCCCGTGTAATTGGGCACACACACGTCGTAGGCGCCAAGGCGGGTGCTTGAGTCGCAGAAACCAAGCCCTTTCGGAGTGACTCACAAACCGCACCTGGGATGTCTTATAAACAAAAGAGCCAGCAAGCAGCACGTTTAATGTAGGAAGAGCAAAATGTAAGCGCAGAGCTTACAGAATGGCAGGTGTGGGAGCTGCAAGGGACTTCAGCGCTCGAGTAATCCAAAGGTCCCGTATTGTGAATCAAGCCATAAACACGCTCAACTCTGACCTAGTGGCGTCACTTCTGGGAAGCCATCCTTAGGCAATAAGCCCAAAGGTGGCCAACATTAAACATATACCAATATTTATGATAGCAATTTTTAACTGTTAAGAAAAAATGGTTTTGAAAGTAGCCGGTGCAACAAAAGGGAAAAGTTAAGTTATGGCATACCCAACTTGATGGAATATTAGGAAGATGTTAAAGTAGTTATAAAGAAATGGAGAAATGTACATAAGTGGTTACAAAGTAACAATAAGTGAAGGGCACAGGTTCAGGATTGCACGTCCCAGGTAACTGTAAACACACACACCATGAGAGAAGACCGCACGGCAGATCTGACTGGGCTGTGAGGGGGTGGGATTAAAGGTAACATTTCCACTTCTCATAATGTTGACTTTCTAAACCGTAAAAGGACACTGTGAAAATCTCACTAGTCCTTCTCTTATGAGTGAACAATCCACAGGTCAGTGGCCAGTTCCAGCCCAATGTTATCCATAGGTCAAATACTATCGATACATTGAACTGGAAGGGAAGTTGTCAGAGTAGTTTCTTTCTTCCCTCCCTCTCTTCCTTCCTTTCTGCTTTCCTTCCCTCCTTTATGCTTTACTTTGTTTTTGTTTTAATACTGGTATAGAGAACTTTTAAAAATAGTCCCAGGGCCTGAACAATAACCCTAGCAGGCAAGCTCGGCTCAGGATCTCAGCAATTCTAGAGGCAGGAAGCATGGACCAGAAGAGGGACTGGCCCAAGAGGGAGGACACACCTGTGCCTTCTGAACAGGTGTGTTTTCACCACCTGGAGTGAATAGGCAAGTTCTCAGATCCTGCGACTCACCCCAGCAGCCCATAAATCAGCCTCCCGGCCACTCCAGGTACCCGTGGAGCCCCTTGCTCGAGGTGGCTACAAAGTGTTCCTGACTATCCTTATGCCGCTCACTCTCACAAGCTTTCTTGTCTGCCACGGGGAGAGGAATGGTCAACAGCAGACCCTGACAAAGGCTGGCCCTGCCACCGGAAAAGCCTGGCACAGATCCATGACGGCTGCATTTCCAGGCAAGGGGCCTCCAGAGCCTGCACCTGGGCTGGTGGACAGACACATCTGCCTGGTTCTAGGATGTAACAAAGGATTAGCCAGCACAGAGGCCCAAGGAAAGGAAACTGATTTGCAGAAGCACAGGTGTCGAGGCTGGAGAGACACCGTGTAGGTGTCACCCTTACTGAGCAGCTAACACCAGAAAGTGAGCCTTAAGCAGTGTTGTAGAGCACTTTTCCAGCTCCTGAGGAAGCCAGTCAAGGACTTTGTGAATCTAGTCAACAAATGAAAATTAAGACAGGTTACATCTGATGGATTTATAATACTTCAAGATTTCCTACAACCTCCAACCCAACTCTAATGAACAGGATTTGGTGAGAGTTTATCCCACCAAACACGAGAGCTGTGAGACCACGCTTCCTCTCTCTGTCTGAGAGGCCCAGAGGCATTGAGACACGGGAGCAGGAGGCAGCAATGCCGGTTTACTCCCCCAGCACCACCTTACACACCTGGTTGATCTTGGCCAAGCCCACCAGCTGGGACAACTGCCTGGAGCTGCGTGGCTAGAGGGGCTCTAGTGGCAGGCTGAGTCCACCCCAGCTGGCCAGGACAGTGCCCATGGGCCCTGGCGGAGCCTTGGCAACTCTGAAACAGCCACCCTGCAGTGAATCTGGCAGGCAGTTTTCTTGGACGAAGTGGCGAAATAACGTCCACCTCTAACAGCAAACAGCACATAGAGAGAAGTGTTTCGATTACCACACATTAGAACTCACGTCCCTCTCAGTGCCGTATTTATATTTTCAAGCACATGAAAAATCATGCAAATTACAAGTCCTCAACATTTCTTTCAAAATGACTCTCCTTTCCTTTTACCCTTTCCCCTCAAACATTCCCCACATCAATCAGTGTACCCAGTTTCCAAAGACTTCTCCTCATCCCTTTCCCACCTGCTATCTGCCAGAAGTTCTGAGTGAAACTCAGGGCTCAGCACAGTGTGTAGTGTCCAGCCTGTGTAAGATTTACTTCCTCTCCCCGCTCTGAGCTTTTACTGGTCCAGTGCAGCCCTGTGTGGGTTTTTTCTTTATTTTTATTTATTGATTTTGAGAGAGAGAAAGGGGGAGAGAGAAGGGAATCAGAGAGAGGGAAACGTCAATTTATCGTTGCACTTATTTATGCATTTATTGGTTGCTTCCTGTGTGTGCCCTGGCCAAAGATCAAACCCACACCCCTGGCATAGTGGGACAGCGTTCTAACCAACTGAAGTACCTGGCCAGGACACCTGTATATTTTGTAATCAGCTCTCTTAAATCCCTGTGGATATAGGCGTTCGTCAATGAAAAATGAACCAGACATCGCTCAGCTTCCTGAGTCCTTCCTTACCTTCTTGATCTGATCCTCCTTCAGCTTGCTGAAGTAAAATGCCATCAAGTGCACCGCAAACATTTTCCCCAAATTTGGTTTCTCCTCAGTCAGTCAGAGATATCTGTGCAGTGTTTATTCCCGTCTACAGGGTACTGCCCACTTCCAATTCAGGCCGGAGGACTCTGGGGAACTCGGTGCTACAGGTTAAATACTTCCAGGCTGCTCAGTTCAATGATTAAACTTCGCCCCCTCACTGGTCCCTCCCTCCAGCACACTCAATAGTCTAATAGGAGGCTCAGGATAGCAGCTGAGGGCTGGTGAAGGGGAGGTAGGGGATCCAGTGATGGACTCTCCCAGACTGGTGTCTCAAAATCTCGTTGCTAAGCAACACTCTCAAGCCAGGGCTCCACCAAGCTCATTCAGCCGAGAAAAATCTTCTGAGAAGTTGGGTGTTAAACAGTACCGACTTTCAAGCAGCTCGGCTGCCCTGCAAATATCCACTCTTGGGCTTTCCTCCTGAACCCTTCTCTCCTCAACCCAGGATTGTAGCCACATGACGCCCCGCTCCGCTGTAGCACCATCTTAATGAAGACCAAATGTTGCCCTGGGTCAGGGGGAGTTCAAGAGTGTCGGAACAGATTCCTCCATGTATGATAGATGAGATCTCTCAGCTAATAGTCCATGGTAGTAGAAAATAATCAATTAAGGTTTACCTATTCACAATGGTAGGGCAGAAAATCTTAATTCTGAAGGTAGTGACCCAGAAAAAAATATGCAAGAGAAAGAATGAGTTGAAATCACCAATATTCACTGGGAAACTGCTGCAGGAGAGAAAAATTGAAGTTACAGATGGGAGACATCTCATGCCACCAAGTCATCTGTTGTTCCCATCCGGTTCTGTCACTCAAACTCGCTGGGAGAAAGACGCCGGAAGGGGCAGCTGTGTGGGCATAACAGACCTTGCACTCTTCCCCCGCCATCGGTCCGGTGACAAAATCAGTAACAGTAACAACGGTGGTAACAGCAGCTAACTTGGATGGGGCACTCACTAGCCCTGTTTCCTCAGATGAGAAGACCGAGGCCCAGAAAGGCTAAGTGACTCCCTGAGAATCTCAAAGCTGGGAAAGGGCACAGTGAGGACTCAGACCCAGGAATTCAACACCAGATCTCAGCTCTTAACTAATGCAGGGTCCGGCACAAACAACGCCCATTTTCTTACAAAATCATCAGCATGTAAATCTGTAACATAACAAGACCACACTGAGCACACAGTATGATGACATTTTAGGTGAAATGTTCAAACTAAATATCACATCCATGTTATTACCCTACCAACAAGCAGGCCTTACTTCCGCCAGACCCTGTACATAATGTTGCCTCTGTTCTTTCTCTTGAAAATAAATGCTGAATTGATAACCAAGCAGCAGCAGCACCCTGCTGGGTTATTATCAAGAATTCCAACTACTCAGAAAACTAAGTACAGACATATCACTTTGACAGGGTCTTCCCAGTGGAGGAAAAATGCCAATGAAGGAATTCTTGTCCACACTTCCCAAATACTAATAAAATGCTTCCTAAAATTAGCAACTGATCAGAGGTTAATGAAGACCAGCTGGGCACCTCTGACCCGCTCCTACACCACCACAACTCTTCAAATGGAAGGGAAGAGAAGAAAAATGTCTTCCTGATCAGCTGGGCAGCCTCAACTTTGTTTGCATAATCTCATTTTTTTTCTACTGCATAATCTCATTAATCAGAACAATTACAACTAATTGCCTGGAGAGAGAACCTGCAACAGCTCTCTTGAAATGCCACTGATTCTCCAACCAGTGCTCTTTCCACACCCACTATGGGGACGAGCCACTGGAAATGTAGCTCACGTCTGTGATGATGATTAAAATTACTCCAGATACTTTTCCAGGTTGGTATCTGAGAAATAAATATTAGTCGGTGTCTCCCAGACTGAGAAACCCAACCCTTTTCCATCTGTTTAACCCTCAGACTATGAACCCTTTTAGTTCCTTTTCCTTGTCTACTGTAAGAGCAGACAAAGGTCAACCTTCATTTGTTGCAACTCTCTGGTTCCCAAATACGTGGAATTATTGGTATTCCGAGACAGGCGCTCAGTGCTGGAGCCTACACAGGCCGAGAAAAACATACCGAGAATGGTACTTCCTTAATTCCACCATTTAGACGGTAGCCTCTATGGAGCAGTATGGCGCCAGCTGCCGCTGACTGGTTCAGCACAGAGGTATAGGTCGCTATGGCCAGCGGACAAAAGGAAACAGAGCCACGGCCAGAGGTTCTGCAATGGCACAGAAAGGCAGCCTTGGGAATCTTCATGAGGCAAAAAACACCAGAGAATTTCCATCTGTTCCATCATTCTGCTTTTTTTCTCTAAGCATATCAGCATCTGCCTTACACAGGTCTGAGCTGGCCTATAAGTCGGGAAGCTTATGATTACGAAGATCGCACACGTTTGGAGTCATCTCGCTCAACCACCTCACTTTATAGAATAAAGACAAAAATAACTCAATTATTTCACCATTTTTTGTCTGATTATTTCAGTCTAACCCTTGGAATTTTTCACCTGTTTTAAAGCTCTATGTAGCTGTTCAAGGACATCAAGGTGTAAGCATATCTTAGATTTTGCTCAAGAAGAACTACTTGATGGATGGCACTGCCCAGTGACATTTCAGTTCAAGTGTTTTACCCATCTGCCCCAAATCTTCCACGTAGGAAGGGAAATGCTCTCACCTCTACGCACATCTGTGTCCACACAGCTCTCCCTTCGGCAAGGCCTAAAGAAAACACAATACTTGCTTTCCTTTAAGTAGTGAGCACGGTGAAAAGACTAGAAGTCCAATACCATTTGTCTATTTAGTAAGCACTTGTATAGTGCCCACTAGGTGTTCTATAATATTAGTTCCCACTATCATCCTCTCCATCTTACAGGTGGGGAGACTAACGCACAGAGCCCAACCAGTACCTGGTGGAATCGGTATTTCTACATGGGTGGTATAGCTCCAGAGTCCATGCACAATCACCGTGCTACACTGGCTCTCACTGACCTGGAAGCAAAGCACTAGGAAAACATCGGCCTAAGCTGGGACACCCAGCCCAAAGTCGGTGCACAGCAGCAAGTGCACGGGCCCTGGGCTCCCACTGTGGCTCCGCCCTCGCTGAGGAAGAAGGCTCCAAGTTCGTATCTGCAAAGGGTTCATAGCTACCTTGGTGGTCACTGAGAATGAGTAATAAATGAGGTCACATAAAGGAAGGTGTGTGGTCCACCATGGGCATGCTAAAAGCATCTCTTTAAGCCTTCCCCTGGCTAGGGACCCCTTACTAAAACTGCTATTTCAACTCATTCCAGGATGTGAGGGTGATCTGGCTGCAACATCTGTCACCCCATTGATTGCCAGGGTTGATTAGGCTGATCTGGCTGGCTAGATGGGTGTCCCCTTCCTCCCTTAGCAATCCATGTGCATCCCTCCCAAAGCTGCACCCTCTGTCAAAGAGGATGACCTTCCCAACTAGAGGAGAGGGCTGGCCTTCAGTCAAGGGTAGGTGAGTAGCTGCGCTCCTTTGCTAGAACCTCCAAACAAGCTCTCAACTCATTCCATTTGGTCCCTTAGGATAAGAAAATGCATGCAGCCCTTTCAGTGTGCTCAGTAAAACATAACCATAAACCATTAAAAGGTACCAGTTCCACTTACTGGAATTATACACAGTTAGGACTTTTATAAATATTCTCTTCCTGTTACTAAAGAAAATAGAGCTTCAATTCTGTCCCATATTCTTTGTAATGACAAGTCCAAAGTTAAGTGGTCCATAATGTGAATCAGTATGGCCTGCTGGTATTCCACTCACTGCAAAAGATGAGAAAGACAGCGTCAGAACACACACTTCCATAAAAGAAGTCAGTGTAGAAACATCCAAATCCTGCCAGGAGTGACAGTCCCCATGGTGTCTTCATGGGAGGAACCACAAATGAAGCAGAAATGTTAACCTCAGCAAGTTTCAAAAGAATGGTACTGATAATTTTTTATAGGTCTACTCCTGACCCAAGAGAAGACAGAAAATACTCATGCGGAAATCAATTGTACGTAATTATTTTCCTTATCTCAACTGTATTGCACATTAAGAGCTGTACTGGCAAAATACATATCAAGGAAAGGCAAGTCAAACAAGGACATGTGGCTTTTAAAAATTCTCAGAGTGATTATAACTAACAATTGCACAAAACAGCAAACTTCTAAAAGCAAATTAGTTAAAGGAGGCATAAACTCACCAAGACAAAGAGAAAGTCAACAGTGACAGATCAGAGATCTTAACATAATTTTGGAAGACAGAAAATAGAGAAGCAATGGTCAAGCAGAGGAAACGCTGAAACCCAAGTGCCTGCAGAGAGTGATCCCGCTGCAAAATGAGCAATGGTATCTGTAACTCTAGAAGGCTCAGGAATTGAAGGCCCAGATGCCTCTGAAAAGCAGAAGGCAACACAGAGCTGAAAACAGGAGATTGGTTAAAAAGTCTAAATAAAAAAGTAGTTAGGCCCCAGGTGTGCCCCCCCACCTATAGCAATGAGTGACCACCAACACCCCCCACCTCTACACACAGGAAAGAGACCGTGTGTTTATTCTCCGGAGAGTCTGAACCGACAGCCTCTGGACTTGGGACTATTAGGCACCACAGGAAGTGGGAGTGAGGCGCAAGGCTGTAAATAGAGCCACAAAGTGAAAACTTCAAGCTGAACACCGAGTCCCCAAAACCACTCTTCCTCCTGTCTGGTTTCTACCAGCACACACGTATCTGTACACATCCCTGTCCTCCCTTCCTCACTGGGCGGAGCTAGGGGGTCCATTTTTCCTCTGGTGAAACTAAATGGCCTCAGAGGAAAATTTAAACACCAGATATGAAAAAAGGCAAAATTACAGAAACTGTAAATAGAGCAGTGGTTGCCAGGGGGTTGGGGAAGGGGGGAAGGCTGAGTATGAGAAGCACAGGGGAGTTTAGGGCAGGGAAACTATTCTGTGTGATGCTGTAACAATGAATACATGGCACAATACGTTTGTCAAAACCCACAGAACTTTACAGACAAATGATGAACTTTAATGTATGTGAATTTAAAACACATTATTAGGAGATCAGGGATGTAACACAGACTGACAAAGGAACCTGACTGTATTGTATGAAAT